AAACTGAGTTTTAATTGGTTTCGCACAATGAACTTGAATGATCAGTATTGTAAAGATTTTTGTTTAATTCTCATTAGTCTTATCAGATTTTAAATTCATGTCAAACCGATATTGAGTTACATTTTTTTGAAATGTGTGTTATTTTTTAAATGGTATAAATTGTATGTATGCATTAGTTACAGTACAATATTAGCCTTTTATCATTACTCATCGTGTATTTTAATTCTAATAAGTGCTAATTAAAATAGCTTGCACCAAAATTCATAATTTAATGTATTTTATTCTTTTAATTTTCAATATTTTTATCATTTATTAGGTGTTAATTTCTTTATATTTAAATTGTTGTTTATGGACACAAATTAATGTTTATATTTCTTAAGAATATAATATCTTATATTCAAATATTATGTGTTATGGCTGTTATATACATTTATAATACTATAATATACTCTATAGTTATTATTGACTAATAAATTATTATATAAACTAATAATAATGATATGACAGGTATTACAATGAAAAGAAGATTAGCCCCAAAAAAGATAACAAAAGTTTGTTTTTTGCTAAAACTAACGCATGAATATTATACTTGAATAAAAATAGCCAAACAATCAAATTATGAAATTATTTATATAATTTTTATTTCAATATTTGAGCTAATTTTATATAATTCTATAATAGTATCATCCGAAAACTGTGTTACAATTAATAGTATTAAAATGATTGCTGTATTAATACCTTTACACTATAAATACTATACTATTATACAAACGATTAGTACATATGAACTAACCTTATAAAACGGGTTCCGATATATAATTCGATCCCCAATATAATGAATGTATAACTGTATCACTAGAATATCTCCTAAAGTCATGTCCTGTTATATAATAATATATAAAAATTTTGTTTGATTTTGTTTTGGACCCAACTCTGCATTCCATGGATTGATGACTATATATATAATTGAATACAATTACTGTTCAATAAAATAGAGTTATTTCTCATTTGATTACAATTCTTAAGAGAGATATAGTGGTGACAGAGTGTGAGATAATTGGACACAAATCATACCATTCATAGTATATTCATAATCATATGTTTAGACTATGTTTTGATGGCTAAGTCTGAAAGCTTAGGTCTTCTCACATGAAATTAATATTTATTTTTCAGACGAATAGTAAATGTTTTGATGGATTATACACTTTAGTGGTGTATAAGTTGTATAAATTGCACATTCAGTCCACTATTTAATTAATTTTTCCCTAATTTTGATGATAAATGACTATTGAGTGTAAAAAACTAATTAAGACGAGAGACTAAGACTAAGACTATAGGAAAGAGTTGTTGTATTGATAATAGTTTTTATCAATTGCTGTCTAAAAATAAAATATAGAAAACATTTTAGTGGTCAGAGAAATGATACATCATTTGAACATTTGTAGAGTTTATGGCCAATAATTACTACAAATTGAGCACAAAATAAGAGTTCAATTGAAATACAGTAATACTTATAAGAAGTAGTATTTAAACAATTTTGCGATACATTTTTGAGTGGATTTTCGGGTCTAATTATTTTACGTAACCCTTGAGCCAAAAGATGTTTGATTATTAATTCAAAATAGCTTGAAAGGTGTGTCCAATAAGCAGGTAGTCATATATAAAACTGCCGGTCCGTTATCTAGAATCAAACTTCTTATATACTGGTACAGGTATATTTAAGTTTTTGTTTTATTTTGAAATTTTTGTTGAATTATTAGCCGAACATTAAAACGGATCGTATATTTAGTTTTGCAAAGTTTTTCTCATATCTCTGTAAATGCTTTGCCATTCAATACATTAGTTTCTCAGTCGAGACTTTAAAGTCTTTAAAGTGTAAGAAACAACAAAAATCCTAATTTAAAATCAAAAACAAATTAAAATTATAAGTTATTTATCTATTTATAAACTAACGATTCATCGATTTGTTGAATCAATGCTTTATATAAACTTCAATCAGACATTAATATAAAAACAAATATGTTGTATTGATAATAGTTTTTATCAATTGCTGTCTAAAAATAAAATATAGAAAACATTTTAGTGGTCAGAGAAATGATACATCATTTGAACATTTGTAGAGTTTATGGCCAATAATTACTACAAATTTAGCACAAAATAAGAGTTCAATTGAAATACAGTATTACTAATACTTATAAGAAGTAGTATTTAAACAATTTTGTGATACATTTTTGAGTGGATTTTCGGGTCTAATTATTTTACGTAACCCTTGAGCCAAAAGATGTTTGATTATTAATTCAAAATAGCTTGAAAGGTGTGTCCAATAAGCAGGTAGTCATATATATAACTGGCGGTCCGTTATCTAGAATCAAACTTCTTATATACTGGTACAGGTATATTTAAGTTTTTGTTTTATTTTGAAATTTTTGTTGAATTATTAGCCGAACATTAAAACGGATCGCAAAGTTTTTCTCATATCTCTGTAAATGCTTTGCCATTCAATACATTAGTTTCTCAGTCGAGACTTTAAAGTCTTTAAAGTGTAAGAAACAACAAAAACCCTAATTTAAAATCAAAAACAAATTAAAATTATAAGTTATTTATCTATTTATAAACTAACGATTCATCGATTTGTTGAATCAATGCTTTATATAAACTTCAATCAGACATTAATATAAAAACAAATACATCTAACGATTAGACCATTTAAACGATTATAGATTTCTATTTTTAAATCTATGGATAAGCCGTTAAAACAATTAAATCATATATTTAATGGTTTGTTTAAGATCTAAACGTTAATTGATGGCAATTAATAGTTTAAATAATTATCGCTTTTATACTACACATGAAGACAGTGTCATCTGAAAAGTTCATTGATTTCATAGAGAGTTAGAGATAAGTGGATGTCATCTGCAATAAGTGCCTCGTTTTCTACTGACTGACCCTTATTTCCAAAATAAACTCTCAACTCAATGAAATGGTAAAACACTTACCAGTTCTCTGTGTAATACTTTTTATTAATACATCACTTTTCATGTCTATTTTCATTTCGACGCTTACACTAACTTTCATACATTATTATTAAAAGCGATAATCGATTGAATCAATTGTTGGCTAATTTATACATCAAATCACGTATGAGAATGAAAATATAAATAAAAATATTTTCATAGATTAAGAAATAAACTCCAATAAACCCCATATATAAGTAAATGTATGTCAATTGCGTTATTTTAATCGCAAACTTCTGTTTAAATTATATTTAAGAAGACTTTTTATTTTGATGTTAAATATGGATATTCTATACATTGTTTGAGTGATTAGTTTTTGTTTTTATTTACTAACAATGAGAATATATTTAATAACTTTTATTAGATGTCATAAAAATGAATTCAATACTCATAACCAAATATTAATAAATTGTGTGACTATTGGATAACAATTAATTTTTTTAAAATAGCGAATCAGTGCAGAAGTGAATGTATATTATATTATATTATGAGTGCATATAAAATGTAAAATAAAAGTTTGTTTTCATATTCATAGTCAGAGATCATTGTTGCGTGAAATGCAGGTATTTATTGGTATTACAGGTATATTATTAGTGTGTTTACAATCACTCTTAAACTCTGTGTTTGTATTGACCCCAAAAACTGTGTTTTGTAACAAAATATTTAATTTTATTTCTCACTATATTTGAGAGAGAATTTGAATTCTTCTCTTAAGTTATAATAAAATTTCTATTTTTACTCATCTTTTGTTGCGATTCTCTAACTTTGTTGTGAAGTTCAAGGACTTCAGGACTTCTGTACTTATCGTATAATCTTTGCGTTAATATTGTATTTAAATTCAGAATATTTTATGTAAATAAAGAGAAAATTAATGAAATTAAGAAATAACAAAAGGATTAACTATTAAATACTGTTAAAACATATGTAACTAACAATAAAACAATGAATAGAGGGATAAATTATGTGTTTATTGAATAATTTTGATCGGAATCTGTTTGGTTGGTTAAGTGCAAAATGACAGCAAATGTAATCACATATAAATGATATGATTTGAAAACATTTAATCTTTTTATTTCGTTTGTTAAGTGATATTCATTGTGATTACAATCTAATTCATTATACCATTCATTAAATGTCTGTTTATAAGCATTACATAAATTGTCTAATTGTTTGATCCTTTTTATATATATAATATTTGCTTTCATTTTTGCATCTCATGTCGATTGATGTGGAAATCATTTCCATTGAATTAAATTATATTCAAATTTGATTATCATTTCTACTCTCAGTCACGCATTTATTTAATACAAAACAGTTTTTTAAAAGTTTGAAAATAGTTATTGAAAATATGCGTTCATTAACTGTATTGGATGTACAGTTAGTGTTAGTACTGTTGATAGTGATCGTGAATGTGGATCAGGTCTTAGCCGCAGGCGCTTTCAGGTATTGGGGGTTAAGTAAACTTGAAATTTGTTCATTTCTTTCATTTCCAAACAACTTCTATCCACAACTACTCTATTAATAATTATGATTACTATTATGACAACATTTTTACGTTCACTGAACTTCACTCTTGTCTTTCACTGACATTCAATTGAAAAAGTATTTTTCGTTTCTCTATATATTTTGCACTTCTCTTGTCGAAAGACTAACTATATTTGGGTTCTGATGTCTGATCCTGTTTTCCTATACACACATAACACACTTGACTTCGTTTAAAAAATTAATTTCACAAACAAATAAATCACAACTAATTTTCTCTCATTTATGAAATGTTTTCGTTGTTTTTGATTTCAGTTTAATAAACACTGGTTTGCATACAAAATGTTAGCCTCTCATCCGATTCCGCTTTATATTCTCATTATTCTATCACTTCTACACTCATTTCCATTGACCACAAGTGCCTTAACTGATGAAAGAGTTGCCAAAAATTCATCGCAAATAATAGAGAGGCGTTCGTTCAGTGATGAGTCGGCGTCTAATCCATTGTCTATCAAGAGTTTCTATAAAGAGTTTCCTCTGCGGACACCTATTCGTCCGATTAGAAAGTTAATCAAAACTTTGTTCAAAACGTCTTCCTCTCCGGAATCGGTCCAAAGTGACGACAACTATAAGGCCACGTATTTTGTGACACCAAAAAAGAGCCGAACATTAATCAGTGAACTGTCGGCCCCTAACTCTCCCGCATCCGGCCTTCATATGTCCGGTTCTGTTGCTCAGCCATCCTATGCGACTCCTCCGCAAAGTATATCTTCTAAACCACATTCGTATGGCTCTTATGGCCAGTCATCTCAATATCCGGGCTATAATAGTAACCAACAGTATTCCAATCCAAAGACTTATTCAAATAGTTATTCGCAACAGAAGTCTGTAGCGCCCAAACCTACTGCATGGACACCTACACATGATTATCAACAAAATTCTGGTTATTCTAGTGCTAACAGAGGACCCGGTTATTCATCGAGTTATCCTCAGAATAGTTATCCTCCAAATTACCAACAAAGTAGTGGCTATTCACAGAATAGCGGTTATAGTAGCGGTAAGAGTGCTCCTAACTATGGCTATAATAGCCAACAAAATTCAAATCAATTGGGATTCAGTTTCGGTGATCTGGAGAACGGACGCGGAATTACAATGGGTGTCACCGAAGATAACCAATACTCCAATAGCAACCAATACGCGCAGAATAGTTATAGTAATAATAATAATCATAATAATAATAATTACGGTAATTCTGAAGGAAGTGGTATGAGTGTGGGGTATGGAGATGGTGGTGGAAGTGGTATTCAAATTGGTGGTGGGGATGGGGGAGGCGGTGGTATGTCTTTCTCATTCGGAGGGGGAAATGGTATGAAAGTAAACGTCGGATCTGGTGGTGGCGGCTACCAGTCTAGCGGTTCCGATAATTATGACAATTATAAGCAACAGGGATATGGAGGGTATGACAACAAGGGATATGGAGGATATGACAACAAGGGATACGGAGGATATGGCAATAATTATGGCGGATATGGCGGTGGATATAAAAAGGACTATTACTACGAAGAGAAGCCACAGTTTAGTCTAACGATGCCATCGATGGGCAAAATGGTGGCCGAGATGAATATGAGGCCACCAAATATCAAGATGAAGATCAACGCCAGCCCTAAAATGAAAGTAATCACAGGAACTACTGATCCGCTAGAGAAGCCGTCTCAAGAGGAAGAGCCTATAATTGAGGACATATTCGCACCGCCGGCCCCTTTCGAAAGGCCCCCGCGAATGAATGACACGGACGGCAATGGGACGGCTCATGGAGTGAACGGAACGAACGCCACAGCGCCATATCCGCCGTATCCCTATCCATACCCTTACCCATACCCCTATCCGTACCCGTCGTATCCCTATCCCCCACATTATCCGCAATATTCTAATCCATATCCAGGCTATGGACACAACTATAATAATCCTCAATCGCACGGATCGTATGGCGCTTCTTATCCTCAGCACCAGTCCTCTCAATATTACCCACAAAATAGTTACCAACAAAACAGTGGTTATAATCATAATTATGCACAACATTCCTATAGCACTCCACCCCCACAGCATTCCGGGTACACAGCATATCAGGGTAAAGGCTACGGACACCAGCCAACAGGTGGTACTTATGATAAGCCATATCCATCAGAATCAAGACGACAGGCAGTGTATGTGAGTCCACAGACTCACACTCAGACCCGTCGTAACCAATACGTCGCTCCTCCGGCCGCTCAAAGTGTGGGCGACTCTAACGCCTATCAAAAGTCTGCTAATTATCATCAATATAACCATCAGAACCCTTACTATAATCAATACAATAGTGGTCACAATTATCATAACAGTAGTGCTAACTATTACAACCATCAGCCCCACTACGGACAGGCAGTTGATTACACTCCGAATCAAAGTCATGGTAGTGGACTGGGTTATAAGTTTTACAACGGCTCTAACATAAACTCCGGCTATAATAATAGCCATTCGTATTACAGTCAAGAAAATTATAGGAATTATTACAATAATTATTATAGAAATTATTATAATAACTATTATAAAGATTATTACGATTATTACAAAAATAAAAGCAAATACAGTATTAGTGGCTATCATGAGGACCATCTGGACTACGAGTTAAGCAAAACGTTTGGCAAAATGATGGAGAAATACCCGGGCGGTAGCACTAAAGAGGGGAAGTCTCAGATTGTGTTTGATGTCAGACCCAGAGTTACGTTCAAAATGCATAACAGGTCTCTGCCGATGGAGAAGAAACACAAAGACCCCTTCTTTAAGACTAAATTCATGGTTATTATGGAGACCACCACTAAAGCGCCCGATTATGGCTACGGCTATGGAGGGTATGGCGCCTACGACTACGACTCCTCTTCTACCACATCGACGACTCCCAAACCCACTACTACTACAACAACCCGAAGGACAACGACTACAGAAGCGCCGGAAGAGGATAATGGCGGCGATGACGAAGAGAATGGAAATGGGAATGAAGATGAAGATGAGGACGCGGAGACTTCTTCCACTACGAGCACCACAACTGAAAGCAGCGATTCTAACGGATCTGATACCGATCAAGAGGCTGAGGAAGAATCGGAGAATGAGTCGCCGTCTTCTACCACAACAACAACTACTACTACGGAAGCGCCAGAAGAAGAGCCTCAAGCAGAAGATCAAGAGTCACAGAATGGATCAGATGGTGAACAGGAAGAAGATTCTCAAGAAGGGTTCGAAAATGAGAGCGATTCGGAACAAGAGGCCAAACCAATGATTTCTGGTTCAAAGACTAAACCAACAAAAACTGGTAAAAATGGAAACAATGGAAAGAATGGTAACGGAAGCAAATCAAGAGGAAAGACACCAAACAATTCCAATGATAACGAAGATGAGTCTAATGAAAGCCAATTTGACAGTAATTTTGAATCAAATGGCGATTCCGACAGTAATACCAAAGATTCAGACAATTGTCGCAAAAAACGAATTTGTGGTAAAGATGAAGAAGAGTCAGACGACTCGAAAGACACTGCAGATAATGATGAGTCCACGAAGGATGACACAAATTCAGTGACAGTTCCTCCAGAATTAGTGTCAGCAATGGTTAAAGCACTTCAAGAAGCGTTAGTCAAAGTAAACCCAACGGACGCGCTGTCAACGACTGAAAGCCCCAAAGACTCAGACAATGAGCCAATAGATGAGGAAGAAGAAGAAGACGATGACGAAGAAGACAAGACAACGACGACAACCACTACCACTCAGAGACCCAAACAGACAGGTATTAAAAACATATTTCAGACAAAAACTAAAAATAAGAACAAAACAAATACCACAACAAAGACATCAAATAAAGACTCGACTCTTAAGACACTCAACACAAGACGCAAATTGATTCCAACAGTTATATCGACAGTCGTTACAAACACAACATCTCTGAGACTCAAGTCTCCGGTTTTAAGTGTAATGTCGAGAACTACTCCTCCTATTCCTCCTATTCCTACCCCCAGGGCTCAGGCGTGGGCGGCGACCAAAGGCGGCGCCCGTCGGACGACTCAAGTCACGCAAATCACGCAGAAAGACATCAGTCAACAGAGGATAGACGAGGAGGAGGAGGAAGACGACGACAAAGAGCCGGAAGACGACGGCAACGATCAGCAAAATTCTGTGCCAATCAATCCAATCAATAGAGTGTTTTCCACTTCCAAGCCATTCGTAGACACCATTAGAAATAATTTCAATTTTAATCGTATTAGTAGTGATAGTAATGATAAAAATATGAACAATAATAAGTCAATGACACAAATAATGAGTAATTTTAATATCAATGATCTAACGGACGACGAGAGGAAAGACATGCTTTTTAATATATTTAATGTGATTCAGACGAAGACCGACTCCAATGTCAACCAAATCAGTGATTCTAATAGTAATAAACTGCCGACAGTTAGTCAAACTCCTAAACAAACTGACAGTTCCAGTGATGATACGGATAGTGAGGATAACGAAGGAGAGAATAGTGATGAAGAAGAAGAGGAGCCGAAAGACAGCGAAGACGGCTCTGAAAGTGCCCCCAAAGTGAAGATCGTGTCGTCCATTGACGAGCTGTCGTCCGCACCACACGATCCCAAAAATCCTCCCATTTTTGTAGTCCTATTACCCGACAAGAAATCACAGAAACAATAGATACAAATAGATATTAATTATCAAAATTATAGTATTTTATAAAACTTTTGTAGTCAACGTTGTGTTAATTAAGTGCCAGTCTATCGATCATTCATTATGTCATCAATTTATTAATTATTGTCATTATTTTTATTATTACTGTATATTATTATAGTTTTTTTTAAATGTTTTATCATTTGTTTGTAGAAAATATTACTATTAATACAATTAAATTATCGTTTTACTAGTTTTTTATTACAATAAATATGTTTAATAAAATTGATTTTACATAACGAATCCTTTCATTGAATCAAAAGCTGTCAAACTTACAGAATATTCTTGACTCAAAGCATTGCCTCACATAAGCACTGACTCCTGAATAATGTACCGCTATGTATGAGTGGCCCTCCATTGCAATGCCATGTGCTGTGAATGTTGTGAAGAGTTTGTGAGCAGTGGTGACAACATTACGTCTGATGTCATCAGCCATTCATCTGATCCATAAGACACCAACTGATCACTCATCCAATCAACGCTTTATTGCGGTTATAGTGAGTGAAGAGATCACATAATCAGTGCGATTACCACAACAATTGGGAAGACATGGCCGACAAGAAGCTCATTGAAGACATATTGGTGCTGTTGAGCGAAAGGTGTCGATTCAATTCATTGAGTCTCTCCATCGAGCTATCCATCGATCACCAGAAGATTGTGGGCGCCATCAAGAGTTTGCAGTCGTTGGGAGACATCATTAAGAGTGAACAGAATGAGACCAAACGACTCGATTTGACTCGAGAGGGACAACAGATGGTGGAGAAGGGCAGCCACGAGGCCGTCGTCTGGAAGCTCATCGGCGAGGAAGGTATGGATCAGTCGAAGCTCATGAAGGAGTTCGGTGACCCGTCGGCCGCCAAAGTGGGCTTCAGTAAAGCCATGTCCCAGAAGTGGATCGAAATCGACAAGACATCCAAAGTTGTCAAACGAAAGGTGGAAGCGATCGAAGACGAGGTGCAGCTTCTGCTCCATCGCATCAGTCGTATGGACTTGAATGAGGTTTGCCTTTAAAGTGATGTCTTCGGCAATTGTCGACTAATTATTGTAAATATATATTTGTTGTCATATCAGGTGAACGAACAACAGAAACAAGAGCTTAAGAAACGAAAACTAATACAAGAAGTGATTGTCAAGAGCTATGACATCGAAAAGGGAGTGAATTTCACTTTGAATGTCGAGAAACAGGAGACGGATATAACGGGAGAAATGATAGCAAAGGGCTCGTGGAAAGAGAAACAGTTCAAGGATTACAACTTCGACGCTATGGGTATTCCTCCAGAAAGGGGTCATTTGCACCCTTTGCTCAAAGTTCGCGAACAGTTTCGGCAAATCTTTCTGGAGATGGGTTTCACCGAAATGCCGACCAATCGGTTCATCGAGAGCTCCTTCTGGAACTTTGACGCCCTGTTTGTGCCCCAAAAACATCCGGCCCGTGACCTCCAGGACACCTTCTACTTGTCTGACCCGCAGACGTGCAACGATGTGCCCGTCGATTACATGGAACGAGTGAAGGCTGTCCACAGCACCGGTGACTTCGGCTCTCAGGGCTATCAATACGACTGGAAGATCGAGGAGACGAAGAAGAATGTGTTGCGAACGCATACAACAGCCGTCAGCGCTCGTATGCTCTACCAGTTGGCCCAACAGTGCAAAGGGCAGGCCTTCAAACCGGCGAAGCTCTTCAGTATCGATCGGGTGTTCAGAAATGAGACGTTAGACGCGACCCATTTGGCCGAATTCCATCAGATAGAAGGCGTGGTCGCCGATGTGGGCCTCACTTTAGGCGACCTCATGGGTCTCATTAAGGAGTTCTTTCTGAAGGTAGGCGTCAAAAGGCTGCGCTTCAAACCCACGTATAATCCATACACCGAGCCGTCAATGGAGGTCTACAGCTATCACGAGAGCCTCAAGAAGTGGGTGGAGATCGGCAACTCAGGCGTGTTTAGGCCCGAGATGTTGTTACCCATGGGTTTACCACCGAATGTAAACGCTTTGGGATTTGGTCTGGGCCTCGAGAGGCCCACAATGATTAAGTACGGCATCGATAATATACGCGATCTTTGCGGTCATAAAATCGATTTGCAAATGGTTTACGAAAACCCCGTTTGTATTCTCGAAAATCATTGATATTTATTCAACTTTTTATGCGTTTATTAAAAAAGATTTTGTGATTATTTCTGATACTTGAGACCAAATAATAAAAAGATTTTTCTATTACCGGTATAAAGACAATAATTGGTATAAATTATGAAAATTAGTTTTCAAAACAATTATGAAATGACTTCATTATACAGTAGTGCCCTAATTGGGAATCTATTAAAATCACAGTTTTATGGTTCGTTGACAAACTTTTCGAGGCTCTGTTTGCCTCTCATATGACTGAATAGTTTAATGGCATTTCCGGCGGCCGTTTGCTTCGCGTCCTCCAACTGTTCGGCCGAACCCCACGACGTGAGTACCGGTAGGTCTGAATAGGAGATGTCGTTGGGTATGATGTGAACCATACACTGGTATAGGTTGGAGTAACTCAACTGAGGGACAGTTAGCACTTTGAACGTGCAGTCCAGCAGTTTTGTGAGCTCTAAGAGAACTGTCAAATAGTCGGTATCGTATGTGAGACCCATTTCCGTCACACTCTCGGTGTTCACACAGCCGTTGATTAGTTCATCCAATTTGTCGCTCAATTCTGGTTTCAAATGTTCATAAAAGTTGTCGATCTTTTGCTTCGCGGGAATCACTTTTCCCGAACTCTTCGTCTCGATATAGTTGTCGAAAAAAGTCGAATCAAAGCTCTTGTTATTCTTATCCTAAACGCAACAAATGAATGGCAAATGATTGACAATTGAGTGGATGTATGGGTTGTAAGGGTACGTACGGCCACGTCCTCAGCGTCGGCCAGATTCTCGTCTTTAAGTCGTTTGATCATCAGATGTGCGGCCCTTCTCTTCGCGAGTCGTTTCGATTTGCCGACACCCGTCTCATTGAAGTCCATGTTCTCGATAACGCACACCATCTTAAAGACGCGCTCATGAGGTAAGCCATCCTCACTGACCGTCTTGTAAAGGGGTGGCCGCCAGTGCCTCTTCATACAGATCTCCTGCAGTTTGCCCACTGGGTTCGTGCCGTCGTCTTCCTCATCGCCCACTTCTTCGCTCACTTCCACATCGTTTCCATCACTTTATATGACATTCAATGCAATCATAATGAGTGACAAATAGCACACACGTGTGCCTCGTATGGCATACTTCATGTCCTGCTCTTTGAGTATCTCGAGGATGATGTCCGCGTTCTCCACCTGATAGTCGCTGTCTTTGATGATGGTTTCGATGGCTCTCTTGGCGACGGCGTGTTTGGCTTTCTTCTTGCTCTGTCCGGTGGCCGACACCGACACCTCTGCACGAGTGGACAGACAGACACACGGTTTGGCATATATTCATATATTCAAGGAAGTGGTGGACAACACATACCCCCTACAGTGACCCGGTATATAAAGGTGGGCGCGTGAACGACCCCCTCCACGGACAGCAACTGATACTCCGGTGACAGTCCATTGTGGGCACAGATCTCTTGCAGTCGTGATATCGGAGTTTTCTGTGTGTTTAAGACATCAATGAGTGAGTGATTGAGGGATCAAAGCAATGAATACTTACTTCCATTCAATTGAATGTTAAACACAATAGAATTGATTGATCAATTTGAACATATGATGTAAGCAGTCATTGATTACTGTCATTCATAATTCAATTATTAAATCACAAATTATGAGTCAATGAAAACGTGCGCAAACTGTATGCTTGTGTGTGTATGTATTGAGTGAAAGTGGGGGCAAACCTGTCAGTGAGGGGGAGTGTTGTATTGACTGCAAACATAGGTAAGCGCCGATGTGGTCCCCCACACCCTGAGCCCAACTGTGGGCCAAAGTGTGTGTGTGTGTTGTGTGTGAGAGGAGTTGTATTGAGTGTATGACTGCATGGAGTGTATGCACTGTATGTGTGAGTGTTGTGTGCATTGATTGCGTGACGCGAAGGCACAACACATTCGTGAGAAGTCCGTCCCTTTCGGGTGTGTTATGTGTGTTATGTATGCTCTCATGGCTTGTCATTGTGTGCCATCTTGTCATCAAGTGATCCATATTTGCCACCAATAGTCCACTCATTGTCACCACAAAACACAATTGAAATGATAATAAAAGTTTTCGTGAGTTTATGAAAAGTTCGTGACTATTGTGTTGAGTGAGCAGTGAATGAGCGATGAGTTTGTTTGTTGCCTGCAATCCAATCACAAACATGTTATGTGTGTTATGAGGGGTTATGTCGGCAATGGATACCAGGGTTAGTAAACTGGCGAATATAGTGGACGACAAGACAATTATCGGTCAACTGATCCGCGAGAAGTCGTCGCGGATTCGTCTGATAGAGTTCAAGGACGCGCGCGCAGACATCTGGCAGTTCTTCCGACTCGTATGTCTCGATGGGGTGACCCTTCCCTATGCCGTATGCGTCCGATGCATGAAAGCCGTCAGCTATAAGGCCAGGGAGGGAACGGGTGGTCTGCACCGCCATCCCTGTTCCAAACAGGCCATCGCCGCCGCCATCGCTGCCGGCATTCCGTTCAACACATCCGCCAATCGCTCAAAGGCCGGTCACTCGTCGTCTAGTCGGGCGTCAAACGCGAGCACAAGTAGTAAGAGTGTCGTCCCGTCGACCAGCGCTTCCACCTCTTCGGCGACAACCGTTCACAACAAACTCAACGCAACCTTTAAGCCAAACTTTGCCTTCAATTCGTTGGTCGCCATCGAAATGGTTAACAATTTGGCCAAAAATAGTCGTCATTTGGCACAAGACTTGATGGGAAACGCGTTGTCACAGCACTCGCTGGACTCGCGCAAGACGTTGGCTCTGGTGTCGGAACAGTTGGAGGACACGAACAGCGCCTTCACCGAAGAATTATTGTCGTTAAACATATTGAAACTGTTTTGCACGGAATTAATACCTCTGGAAGTGTTGGAAAGCGAGTCATTTCAGCGATTGGTTCAGCAGTTGATAAGTTTCGGTGCAATCAATGGCTCCATTAATTTCGACAGATTTAAAGCCAACAGTTTATTCGCAAACGCTTTCGAGACCTCAAGACTCGACTTTCGATCTGTTTTGCAGAAGTATTCATTTATCACATTTGTGGTCGATTTGTGGACTCAAGAGATCACGCGAAGAAGGTTTATGACAGTGTGGGCCCACTTGGCGGACACTCAACACAACAAGGATTTGTGTAAAATAGTGGTAACCAAAGACATATCACACATGAGTTCCAGCGAACAACTCATTAAACTTTTGGATCTGATTCGCAAAGACATCAATGAATCCAACTCTGAGTTCATATACCTATTCGACAACGAGTTCTCAGCCTTTGATATCGAAGCCAACGATAACTTCTTGTTTTGTGTTAACCATCAGTTGAACAGAATTCTCGACGAAATGCATTCAATCAAAGAATTCAGTCAAATGTTTAATGAGATTAAAATGATTACGAATATAATGGAGAATATCGACGGCTTTGGCCTGAAGTTCGTAACGCAAGGCATCTCTAACTTCAATAATTGGTTTCAAATCCTCAAGATTTTCAAACTCCTCAAAGAGTTCCCGAATCTGAAACAAATTCTCGGCGAACAGCAAGAGCTGGGGTTCGTTGGGAAGCCGTGTTTCGATGAGATCACAGACTTTTTGTTGCCATTCGCCGAGGCTTTAAATTACTTCCACTTCGAGACCGACAAATCCATTTCGACCATCAATTTGATCTCTCTTTGGAGAGTAAAACTTGAGAACCACTGCAAGAGTTCCGAAAGCGATTCGCAACTCATTAAGAAAGTGAAGGACAAACTGAGAGCAGCCATCCTTCGAAGCAATTTAAATCATCCCATCTTTTTGATGGCCGTCTGCTTTGATCCGCGATTCAAGAAATTGAAAATGTTTTGCGAAGACATGAGAACCAAAACCTATGATATTATACGCAAACAATTGGCACACTTTTCGCACATCAATCACTTGCAGCAGCCGTTGTGTTCACCACAGGATCTCTCGTCTGACGCCAACTCTTCTGATGATAGCGTTGAGCCGAAAGCGTCGAAAAAGTTTAAAGCGATTGAAGATAAGAGTACCGAAGCGTTCACCGAATACTTAGATGAGACGAATGAAGAGGAAAAGGATGAGTTGCAGAGGTATCTGAACTTAGAGGTCGGCCAAACACAGCCGTTGGAGTTCTGGTGCGGAGAGCACTCGACACGTCTGCCACGGCTTAGATTCTTAGCCCAAAGAATATTAAGTATTCCATCGGTTTTGTCCAAATGCTGTCACTATTCGACAAGTGGTGAACAGTTGTCTATTAGACGCAAAGCATTAGATCCCAGATATTTAGATAAAGTTTTACTATTGAACAGTCATTTCTCATCCATTTAAATCACAAAAACTATTTTTTGACATTTAATTAAATGTATTTTAATTAAATAATATATAATTATTGTATAAATACTGTAACTATTAATAAAACAATTTCTGTTATAAATATCGTATGTTTTTAAAAGTTGGATCCATTTATTTGAATCATTAAATGAAGTTCTCTTCGTCCTTATTATGATTGTCAGCTGTATTTTGATGGACAGGTGTGGGCACCGGCTGTCTATTCATACTGTTTGAGAACTTAAGATTAGGCGTAAGACTGCGAACTCGGTTGCCGTCGGGATCGTCAGTGCCTTCCTGTGCGGTAACCCCTCGACAGTATTTGTTGAGCTTAATAGAGGCCAAAACCAGATACAATATGGCGATAACTAACCCAATCATACCAACCACGAAGAATAAGAAGCCGAAGAATGAGATCCAAATGGAGACTACGATAAACTGGAGACACCATATGCTCGAGTATACGGACTCCAAACAAAGCCATTTAATTGTGGGCAACGACTCGACCACATGAAAGGAATAGCACAACAACAGAGTGGTCTCCAGTGTTACAGCCATTACACAGATTATCATTAAATAGTATTTAGCATTGGTTTCCATTGCATTGGTTATGGGGGCGATATGTCTCTCCATCGATTGACTCGCATTGAAACCCTTGAGAAGTACATTGCCTTTGGTGTCCATCTCTTCGGAGGTGATGTCGAGAACTGTGATCACAATAACGACTAAAGAGAGGATCGATATAATGATTCGCGAGTAACCGACACAACCACTGAACTCATCCCAATCGAAGCGAATCAGTTTGAATGCATTCAAACCACTCGTGTCTGTACTGCCTTTGTTGCGGAACTTCTTCGGCACATATCTCTCCACTTTCCACTCATTAAGTGCAGAGTCTGTAGGCTCTGGATCACTGGTCTTCCACTTGAAACTCGTATTATCACTCGATTGGTGTCCAAAAGGACTGCGAACTGTCGCACTAGAGCTCGATATTATATATTCTTGTGGTCTCTCTTGTTTCACAATTGCCGTACATTTGTTGGTCTTGTCTTTAATGGTTCGGTCTTTTGATTCAGACTTCTTTTGCTTCAGATTATTAACGCTTAGATCAACATTCAGTTCAACCATTTTGTTATATAAATTATTGCTATAAATTCACCATAAAATTTAAATCTGTTTTTTGTCTAAAAGTTTTAAAAGTATAGTACAATAGAGATGCAAATGATTTCACGAGAGATACAATAGAATAGTTGAGTAAAAAGTTTGACAAAACTGTAAACTTTGTATTAATCGTAAGTTTTTGCAAAATATTCTGTATTGAGAAGTGATTCTTGAGGTAATGGCCAGTGTTTGCGGTAAATGTGGATAAAATGCTTGAGATATTTGCTTCGTTGGCAAAGCTGTTGAGGTATAGACGGCTACACATCGACGGAATGGTGTTTAGACTGCACTGCACTCTAACTGTTCTCATATTAATGGCATTCTTTATACTGAATTCAACGAAACAAATAGCCGGAGAACCCATCGATTGTGAGGCCAATGGAGAGACTGTGGATAAGAATACCCTGAATATGTACTGTTACGTGGGCTCCACCTATTCAATCAATCCCGAGGCATATAAGAGCCCACAGTATGGGGTGTACCACGGATTGGGTGCCACTGATCACAGAGACCCAACTCGACTTACGTATCACTACTACTATCAATGGGTTTGGTTTATGCTGTTATTGCAATCCATTTGCTTCTACTTTCCGCGATGGCTCTGGAAGTGCTTCGAAGGCAACAAAATGTCTTCACTCGTGTCGGATCTCAACTACTTCTCCATTGAAGACAACCTCAGAGAGAAGAAGACGACACTTATAGTGGAGTTTCTGTACAGAACTGCCGGTGCGAACGACTGGTATGCCATCAAATACTTCTTGTGCGAACTGTTGGCCTTCTTCAATGTCTTGATCCAAATCTTCGTCAACGACATCTTCCTCTCCCATCAGTTCCACACATTTGGCATTCATTTGATCAGATATGTCACGTCTGATCCCAATGTCACCGTTGATCCCTTCACTCGAGTAATCCTACAAATTAGCATTAATTCACACTTTAATATAATTTATTATTTCTAAAATTTACAGATATTTCCGATTCTAAGTAAATGTGAATTCAAGCGATTCGGCGCCTCTGGAAGTGTTGAGACAATCGATGCTTTATGTGTCCTATCCATCAATATATTCAATCAGAAGATATATCTCTTCATATGGTTTTGGTTTTATTTTCTGGCGATTATCACAAGTTTTGTGATTATATTCAGATTTATTCTCATTTGTTGTCCACTAATGCGTTATTATGTCTGTCGCTATCGGTTTGAGTTATCTCTCGGAAGTGATAACCGATGCAAACGACTCGTCTGTGGATTACATTTAGGCGATTGGTTTATATTGTATTTGGTATTTAATTCTTTCATTTTTTAATTGAAAATAACTATTTGTTTTAATTGTCTTTTGTTTCAATAGTTGGCTCAAAATATTGAACAAATTATTTTCAAAGAAATTCTGGAAAAACTTTACGAAAAGATAAGGAATGACGACCAGTTCAATGAAAGGGTAGACATATATCCCATTGAAAATAGTAAGACTTCACACAAGAGTTCAGTTCAATTGGAAAGTTTTGAACGAATTTCCATTAATTAGCGTTTATTTATTATATGTCGTAAGTATATCATTGAAAAGTGTTTTCAATGATTTATGACAGTAATAATAATTATTATTCTTGTTTTGTTGTTTTTTATAATTTTTATTGAAATGTTTTTTTTAATAAAATGAATTGATTTTTATGCAATAATATTTATATTCAGTGCTTTTAATCGCAAATGTTTGCAATTAATAAAATGTTGATCTCAACAGTCAATGTTACACTTTGTTACAACTTACTGTACAGATTGAAACATGTTATAATTGTAAAATACTTTGTACCATATTAAAAATTAAAATTAATTGGATAAGAATTTTATGTTTTTTTGTGCAAAATCACTCACATTATAAACGTTATAATTAACTGGATCACTATGATGCTACTGCACTTCTATTGTTTTGTAACAAATGTTCACTTTTATCCTTAGATATACCATTAGTAAAGGACATGGGTTTCCGAGAATTATTGGTTAGATGCGATTCAATGTGTTTGTCAATTAAGTCTTTAGCGATTATCACTTTCATTATCTCATTAGTTCCCTCCAGTATCCGGTGAACCCTTGTATCTCTCAATAATTGTTGAATAGGGTAATCTTTTAGGTATCCATAACCTGTGAATTAATAATTACATTTTAAAGTTTTATTGAATAAATAGTCTTCAAAGAATTTCAAGAATATTATACTTTTATACTAATATTGTAAATGAATGTCTATCTATTATGTGGAAATATTAATCGTATGAATAACTTAGATAACAATTACTGTGCATTAAGTCCTAATAAACTGCTCTAACATGATATGTCATCGTTTGAATGGTTTATCACTAATTTGTGTAAACATTTGATTCAATTAAATAACAGTCAATACCTCCGAAAAGTTGAAGGCAGCGATCAATGATATTATGGCAGCGCTCTGTGGCTAACAGTTTAGACATAGCGCACAGTGAGCTGACAGGGATGTGAGTGTCGTTCGTGTCTAAACCCATCTGTTTGTCATCCATGGCTTTGGCGGCCATTCGGACGGCTAATCGAGAGGACAACAGATCCGAAGCCATTGTCGCCAATTCGAAGCGAGTGTTCTGGAAGTCGGCGATGGGTTGACCGAACTGTTTGCGATCGCAGGTGTATCTCAATGTCTCCTCCAGTGCCCATTGGGCCCCTCCTAATGAACACGAGGCTATATTAACGCGGCCTCCGTTGATGCCACTCATGGCTATGTTGAAACCAATGCCTTCGCTGCCCAACAGGTTATTAGCGGACACTTTACAGTCTTCGAGTATCACCTGACGGGTGGGCTGACTATTCCAACCCATTTTGCTCTCTTTATGTCCGAAACTGAGCCCTTCGCTGCCTTTTTCTACTATAATACAAGAGATACCTTTAGGTCCGGCGCCACCCGTTCTGCACATCACGAGAAACACATCACTCTCTCCGCCACCGCTGATGAAGCTTTTGGTTCCGTTCACTACAAACACAAACAAAACTCAAATAAAAACTATATTTCAAATCTTAATAAGAATCTCACAAATATAAGAATCTTTGAATTTCTGGGCTCTGGTCTCGAGGTTTGCGGCGTCGGAGCCGGCGTTGGGTTCCGTCAGACAATAGGCGCCTATCTTTCGCATCGAAACCAAATCGGGAATAAGTGTCTGAATTTGGCGGTCGTTCCCAAACTGGGCGATCATCGCACAGACCATGTTGTGAATGGACAACAGGGCTGTGGTGGACACACATCCCTGTGCCAGAGCCTCGATCACAATGGAGGTGTCCAGCCGTGAGAGACCAGTGCCTCCCTTCTCGGCCGGTGTATACAGTCCTCCGAAACCTAATTCCGCGCTTTTGCGGAGCTTATCGACGGGAAGGTATTCATTTTGATCCCATTCCCTCATGTGTGGTCTGAACTCATTGATACTGAACTGATAAGCCATCTCTTGGAGTTGTCTTTGTTCTGCGTTCAGACCAATGGACGCATCGATTAATGTATTTCTGGAGAATTCGCTGAATTGTCGGATCAATGTTTGGCACAATATCTTCGGGCAATTAGTGCCCACTTTTGCCATCAATGACAACATTTTCGTTCACTTTTTATTATAAAAAGTATTTTTATTATAAAAATTTTATAACACTTTTTATGATACAATTTTTAAATGTATTTATTTTGTTGTTGTTCTCAATATTGGTATGAAATTAGAGAATAATTAATAACTTTTTCTGAAACTCTATTCAATTTTTTATTATAAAAATTTTATAACACTTTTTATGATACAATTTTTAAATGTATTTATTTTGTTGTTGTTCTCAATATTGGTATGAAATTAGAGAATAATTAATAACTTTTTCTGAAACTCTATTCAATGCCAAACTCTTCGCAAGAGTTGTGGCAATAAAGTTATCACTCGTTTCAATGTTAGCCCGCAATAGCCTTGAGAATTCACTTAACTCTATGGCAGACCCCTTCACTGCTACCCTGTTTAGATTTGTGATAAACAAAATACAGTATAGCACAGTATGTATTGATTATTATAATCGTTTTTCACTAAATTATAATTTGTAATGCTTTCCATACATTAATTTCAATCATTGTAAGCAGTGCTGTGTTAGTGGCTATAAATGCATAATCAGTAAGAATAAGGTATTTAATAAAGTATTAGAGAATAGTGAATAAATGGCATTTGATGACAGGTGTACATACACTGCCATCAGTCCTGAGCTAGAAGTGTTCACTTTTCCCATTAACAATAAATGTTATTCATTTTAGCCATTTATGGGTTAAAAAGTGTGTTATTAAAAATATGGTTTACTACAGGCTAAATGACAAAAGTTTAGCCTATAAATGACTAAAAAGAGTAACATTTATTGTTAATGGGAAAAGTGAACACTTCTAGCTCAGGACTGACTGCCATTCAGCTCATTAGACAAGTATTTTCTAATCAATTATTTACTGAATCACATATCATTGGGAAATGCCTTTTCGTATCCAAGTATTTCTCATTTGAATAAAACTTTGCATTCAATTCAATAACAAGTGATTAAAAAGTTAGAAAAACTTGTATAAAAACTTTGAATGCAATGATTGCGTGAATCCATTGGCAACGCATTGAGCGCATCGATTGGCTGTAGTGTTGAGCCAATGAGCGTCCAAACAGTCAAACGATTTCTCAATATTAATACATAAATATAACACACTTTTCATTGCAATGATTGCGTGAATCCATTGGCAACGCATTGAGCGCATCGATTGGCTGTAGTGTTGAGCCAATGAGCGTCCAAACAGTCAAACGATTTCTCAATATTAATACATAAATATAACACACTTTTCATGAACTGAAGAGTCAATTGTGTCCACAATTGGTGTCACAAATGCAGTCCAACCAAGACTTCCGCTCAAGACTTCCTTTACCCAAATCGGTCTTCAAGTCGGCTATCGCTCGTCCGTCACTGCAGACATCGACGGCCCCATCAGGTGTGCCACCGCTGCGGACCAGCTCTTCAGCGTCGCAGTCATGTGTGAAACCGACTCTTAAGGTGTTGTCCACCAATTCGGTTCAGACGGCACTCCGACTGCGACCGCATCCCTATCTGTCGTCACACGTGAGGCCGACCTTCAGCTCCAGACACGCTATGACTGTGAAGAGTATAGGTCTGGTGCCGGCTGTCAGTCCACAAGTGGTCACTCGACTCGACTTCGACGTCGAGAATAACAGGGAATCGCTGTTGAGTTCACCACAAGATATGAACCGATGTTTGACAGACAAGAGGTTGTCGTCCAAAACGAGTCCTGCCGTCGACTGGAACTCATTGAGCAAAGAAGCGGAAGTGATAGCTTTGAAGACACAGATCACTAAATTAGAGACACTTCTGGACGAAATGAAACTCAAGAATTCGCAGATTTGTATCGATTATGACCTGAAGATCGAGAAATTGACGACTGAATCGGAAAGACATCAAAACAAATGTTTGGATTTCGAGAAACAGATGAAAGCGTTTGAATTGAAATCAGAGGAATCGAGTGATCAGTTGCTGAACGCGAGGGAAGAGTTCGGCAGAGAGTATGAGAAGTACGAGAAGAGGATCAATGAGTTGACGAAAACGGTTATGGATTTGACGAACCAATTGAGTGACAATGAGGTAGCCATCGATTCAGTGGAAGCCACACATCAGTCACAGATGGTGGCCGTCGAGCATCAGATGAAGGCATTGGAGTCTAAAGTGATTGAGTTGTCCGAAGAGAAGGAATTCTTTGTCAAACATATCCAACAATTGGAATCCGATGCCAAAGACAGGGAACAGTTGGACGCAGAGCTGAAGAGCGCAAAAGTGAACATCTGTTTACTGAACGAAGAGCTCAAGTCATACAAAGATGGCGTCAAATTAAGCGATATTCTGGAGAATGAGTTGCAAGAGTTGAGACAATTGCGCGAACAGAACGTGGAACTGATTCGAAGTAATCAATTGCTAACTGATGTCCACTCGAAGAATCTGGTGCTCGAAGAGAAGTTAATTGCTTTGGAAACCCAATTAAATGAACGAAACAATCGGCTGAAAGGAGTGATGGAAACAGACTTAGAAGTGAACGAACTTCGGAAGCGATTGTCTGAATGGCAAGAGTTGTTGGCCAACGATTCACCCATTGATGTCCACAAACACCTGAGTAATGTCCAGAACAATGAAATCATACTTCGCTCTGAATTGGCGTCACTTAAGACACAATTCGATGACATGATGTCAAAGAGGGAACAATTAGAGTCTGATTTGATGACAACTCGGAATGAATTACTCGAACAAAACGAAAGCATTAAGAAATTGAACCGAAAGTGTCTTCTATTCACTAAAGAGAAAGAGAGTTACAAATCGCTTATAAACAGCTATGTATGTACTCTATGGTCGTATGCCACTCATTGTCTTATATTTGTTGTCCGTTTAACACTTATTGTCTTATATGAAGGAACACGACGTGACCCTCGATTGGAACAAAGTATCCAAAGACCGCATCTCCAGTTTGGAGGCTCTGGGTATGTGTTTATATACAGTATATATTGTATTTTACAACAAATTTTCATCAATTGACACAATTATGTCATTTAATGCATAAATCGATTCTCAGTCGACGATTACCGCAATTTTGTGGAACAATTGGAGACAGAAATTAAAGTTTTAAAAAATGGCGAGGAATCGGAAGAATGTCAGCACAGGATTAAAGAATTGGAGAACAGTTTCAATAAAATTAAAGAGATGAAAGAGCATCAGATTAGCCCCGAGTCTGAGCCCATGGATACCAACTGTGCTCCGCCTCGAGAGCCGACGGCTGCCGTCTCCTATCGTATCATACATTTTAATCAAAACCCAATTGCAGTAAACATTGCGAAACATAACGAGGATTTCAAGCGACTCGTGGAGGAGAACCAACGCCTCCAGAATCGAGTGCTTGTGTTGGAGACGGGATCCGATGCGGACGTCACCCAAAAGTGTGACGAAGGCATCAAAAATAGCCAGGAATTGGAGAAACTGCAGAAGAAGTTGGTATCGGCTGAGAAGAGTCAGCAAAAGATTATCGACGCCTTCAAGAGAACGAGTAAAGAGTTCCGTGAAGTCTGCTATCGTTTGACTGGTTTTCGAATTGGTATTTGTTTTCATGACTTCTCATTGATTTCCAGAGATATTCAATACATTTTTGATTGTTTTGAATACAGATTTACTCAAACAAAACACCTACCGATTGGCGCACATGTACGCCGACTCACCCGATGATGTATTGATGTTCGAGTCGGACGGCACCGACCGCACCATCAAAATGCTTGAGAATCAGTACTCGAATAAACTACAGGAGTCGGTGCAGACCTATCTGACAGCGCACGACAGCTTCCCGGCATTCCTGGCCTCTCTCACACTCGAACTCTTCCACAAACAGACTATCGTTTAATACAATCACTTCATTGACAAACGCATCGATTCCTATGAGACCAGTATTTGCCAAATACTGTATTTATTATATATATTCTTCAATTTGTAATAAAACTATGAAATTGTCACGAATTAACATATTTTTAGAGACAATTTCGGCCGTTATTTTAAAATATATTTTCGATACAAAAGAATTATAAAAACTAAAGCATAAATAATAAAATAATTTTCATTATTATCAGTAATATTTAAATGGGATTTTTAGACTTCGGGCTCAGATTTGTGGAGTCCTTTCTGCAAGAGGTCCACCAAAATAGGATAAACAGAAGCGAATGAACGGCCCTCTGATTGGCGAATATTCTTCACATAAGATTCCAAACAATTTCTAACATTTGAAGCAATTATTATCAATAAAACAAAAGTGATTGACATTAGAGTTCATACTTGATTAGAGCGAGTCGTTCGGACTCATCCAAGTGCTGATCCAACCACTTGTTATACCTGGAGAGCGACCAATTCATAAACTGATGGCAACTTTTGATGTCATTGGGAGCGTAAGTGGAGATCAAGAACTCGATAATCAGTGAATAGGGAATGAGATCTCCGACGGCACCGGATTTGGCGATTGATTCGGCGCTTTGAAACAGAATTGATTTGAATGATCGGAGTAACCGATACTCACGGCCCAAACGTCCAATGGGTTGACACAGCGGTGTTAACCCCATTTCCAACTGTGCAAAGTCGGCCGCTATAATCATACGCCCCCTTTTAGACAGGGGTCTGATTAGAGTTATTTGTCGTAAAAACAACTGAATCGTACGGTTGGCAACTCTGTCCGTACTAAACATTAAGGAATTAAATGCAAAATTTTAGATTTTATGTTAAATAAGTTAATAAAGGATATTAAATGATAAAAGTGATACCAATTTTGCGTGACATCGCAATTAGGATACTGTTGTAAATAATCTGATGATATTCTGGCGATAAATGTTTGCAATTCCTTCATATATTCTGATGGACGCACTTCCGTGTTATTCAATTCGCCATCACTTTAAGTAAATTAAAATTAATTGAAAATTGTATTTCCAATAAAATAACATTCAATTCATTACTCGCTATAGTTTTCCGAATGCATTGTCAACAGAATGGCTTCGATGGCGTCTGTGATGCTCTCGAAGAATGGATTCATTGTACTGAACATCAGATTCTCGATGGGAGACAAAGAATGTTCGACGAGTTTGAGGCATTCGATGGGACAGTTAGATGTGACTAAAAGCTTATCAATTCTGTGGCGAAAGATGTTAAGTCTGTCGACAATTGCGGCGTTTAGTCGTTGGCTGGCAGTGAAGGGGCCGATGACTTGAGTGCTGTGACCATCGTTTGAGTTGAGTTGTTCGCACTTCAAGACAAAGAGGTTTATAGTTTTGGTCACATTCTTGGCCACAGACAGGCACAGAGTGGGGTCGCCAGCGCTGGCGTGCAGTTCGCTTGTGATGTGTCTCACTATTAGGTCGATGTCCTTCTCGGAGGGAACGTTAGCCGAGTAAATAGACTCCACGCTTGTGCTGAGAGATGGCTCTTTCGCGTCGGCAAACACTTTGTTGACCGAATCGAATAGAAGAGACAGCGAACGGGACAGGTATGCGCTCTCGAAGGCCTGCATCGACAGACGCAACACTTTCTCTGCATTTATCTCTTTGTGGTCACGAGATATTCGTTTCCATAACTCACTCAAAGAGTTCAAATAATTAGGATATTCCGTTTCGAGCGCCTGTCGTATAGCCTGAGAATCGTTAGCTGTTTTGCAGAGCTGTTCTGACAATGTTTTGGTAATATAAGACCAGAAGTGGTTGAGACCGTCGTTATCTGATTGATCCAATTGCTCGATAAGACAAGCATTGGTTAAAGTGTCTCTTCTTTTCTTAACCAATCTGTAGATTAAACTGATTTGACTGAAAGTGTTGTAAATATTATCTATAAGTGTATCGATGTTTTGTCGAAGTGTTGACCGCAGAGAAGTGTTCTGAGAGATAGTCATCGGTATGACAACTCTTCCGGGACCTGAACTCCTCGTCTGCGTCAGAGATGACAGATCTGTCGCCTCATTCACCGCTTTTCTGATGTATTCCTGTTTTTCATCAATAATTTGTCGAATCTTTTGGTCTAAAATCCTAAGACTATAGTACACCTGAAGAGCTGAACCCAATTGGTTGCTGTCCTGCTCCGCCAATCCTATAGCAAACAGTTGGTCAGCTCTACGGATCAGCGCATTTCTGACAGCATTAATACTTTTCAAGTCATCTCTAATGACATTAATTTTGTTGAGAGAACCGTTAGTGTCTTCGTTGACAATGGCGTCAATTTGTGAGATGTATTGCCCGGCTTTGGTCACCTGTCGAGCCAGTAGTGGGCCCTCCGAGTCATCAAACGGACTCTCGTGCAAGCGTTTAATCAAATGAATTATACGTATTGTTCGCCGCAATAAATCACAAGTGGTTTGCAATCTGTTTAATACAACAATTTGCTGACAAATGCGGTCATACGGGTCCACCAGTTTGGCCCTTATCTTATGGGCTTCTGTTAGTAATTCTTCGATTCTGGTTTGGATTACTCGCAGCACTTCCTCCAGAGCATCCATTTTGTTCAACTGCGACAACAGGTCTTCGTATTTATCGCAAACCAAAGACTGCAAACTCTTGTTTAAAATGTCGATTCCATTCGTTATCTTAATTATCTGCTCATTGATTGTCATTCCATGCAATGAAGTAATAATCTTTGAGTCAAAGCTTTGAGACATAAACTGTTTGTACGTCTCGTCAGATATAAGCTGTTGGACCAAAGGGTCCGAAGTGTCCAAAGCGTTGGCACTCATTGTCTGTATTATATTCTTAGCACTGTTTTGGGCACTCATTGTCTGTTAAAACACTTTCACTTTAATTATGAAAATCACTCACAAATTGTTACAAAAATAAGAGTCAAAGAATAGTCACAAAAATAGTTCAAAAGTTAATAAATCAGTGATGGGATCAACCAATGGATCAATTGGTGGACCTAATGGGCGGTGAGACCAGAATAATGGCGTCGCCTCTGACGAAGAGCATCGGAATATTGCGTTTCTCAGTCTTGTAGACCTCCTCATAGGTCTCTTCATCGATCTCAACAGTGGTCACACATTCCTCCACATCACTCAATACCATATTCAAGTGCTGGTCATAGGCGTGGAGACGACCCCGAAGTTCCCTCTCGTTCCTCATCTTCACGTAAATCCTTTCATCTAAACTCAAACGAATCAAATCCAACGGTTCCTCGACTGTGGCCGGGACTGACTGTCACCACAATTATCACCCATTAATACATCAATTCATTCATTGGCTAACAATGGGTGCGATTTTGGGCATCACTTACCGGTTCCGTCTCGTCTGCCATCGCTTGCGGCCAACAGTCGATACTTTGTGTGCAAATGTGTCTCTTGTGATGTCTGTGTGTGTCTCAAGTGATGGTAAAGTGTGGTATGATTTCAAATCAATTATAATTTGATCACTAAATCAGTAAATCATTCAAAAAACAGTTGACAACAAAACGCGACAAATCCGCACATTTAGCCCATTCATAGACAACGTTATCATTCATTTCAGTCATTCATTCATGTCTTCCCCCTTTCTGTCATTCTTTACAATTATTCTGTAATTAATTTGTTCACTCTTTTAATATTGGTTTGATTTATTATCAATTCAAATTTGTATGTAAAACAGTGTTTATAAAGTTGTATAATACTATTAATACAGCAACTAAAGTCTAAATATAAATTATAAAAATAGTTTTATGCTGTATATTCAGATATTGAGTGCAGAAGTCATGATATGGTAGGAAAGAAATATGTTTAGCACCTTTAGCACGAATATTAATATTGAATGTTTAGTTGTTTGGGTGCACCACATGTGAGACAATTGTTGGCAAATTTTGATTAATTAATAGTTATTGTAGTATAAGAAAATGTATTCAGATGAATTATACTAACAATAGAAAATTTAGACATTGAACTAGAATTGAATTAAATGAGTACAAGAATAACAAGAATAATAAGAATATTGCCGCAAATAAATGAGTGCCTATACTATAAGTTAACGATTTATAAGTTGAGTGCTTCAATAAAATGATAAGTAATGTGAATTGTCGTACGAAAACTTACAGAGAGTTTACAGGAATAATTGGATTGTATTTGATATGATATGATTGAGTTATATGATAGGGACAGGCGGTATATTCTGTGGTCTGAGTTATTGTTGCTGTGAATACCAAGAGGACATCCCATTGGAGCAGAGATCCGATTCGTTAGACCGAAACCATACTGACTGTGCATTTGCTATATTGCAAGCCATTAGACATATAAGTGCTGTCTATCAGTGATTACCATCGAGTTTGTGGACGCATTCATGCATTCAATTAACTTTTAAATATGGAAAACATTGAATGCAAACAAAAAACAAGATTTTGTTACAAAGTTTATAAGCTTTCAATCGAATTCTCCGTTTGAAAGTTGAAACTAAAAGATTTTGTAAAAAGTAATTGATTTTTGTTGTCAATGTATAGACATTGGGAAGCAATTTGTGTTTCATTTAAATGTATTCATTGTTAATGTTGTGTGACTTACAAAATGTCAACGACTGACAGATACAAGACTTCACACTTGCATTGCATTCGTCTGTCGGAAAAGTATTTGTGTTGATATTGAAAAGTTTATAACAACATATAAATTGCTATAAATTTATATAAGATATGTGAAATAATGTGTTAATAATTAAATCATGGCTCCATAGTGATATTTTTTTTGTTTAGTAGATTTTGTCAACAAATTCCTCAAATAATTAATCCAAAATGCTTACTATATTACACTGTATTGGATGGAAATATAAAATAAATCTATAATAAGAACTTACAAAATGTTAGCACTGCTGGTGTGGACGAGTAGTGCAATGGTTTGTGTCTTAGGAATGTCTGTCCAAAAGGAAATGATATCAAAGATAGTGCGCGACATTAGCGGTGACTTCTTCACCATCTTATCCGATGATTGTGTGGATTTGGGTTGCGATCAAAACGCCAGACTCGCGACACCAGTCACTGTCAACTCGTGTCGATGTCATTGCCATCAGTCGTACCCCGTGTTCAGGGATGACAGGAAAGATTGTGTCCGAGACTTATTCGGTATAAACTATTTATTTATTCAAACCCCCAAAAACTTGTCTATAAATATGAGTAATAATTATTGTAAACTCATTAAACTGACCACAAGTTATATCTAAAACAATTAAAAATGCACTTTTTCATGTCAGAATTAGTTAAATTAAAATTATTGAACTTTTTATTTTAAAAATAATTTATTCATGGATCTGTTTCTATAAAAAAAACTAATTAAAAACCTTTTAAAATTGAAATGATTCTGTTTAATTTTATGTATTAACCTGCATTAATTGATGTGATTTAACTTATTGTTTAAATTGTGTATTATTTGTGAAATAATGAAAAGACTGTCCATTGGTTGCATTCATTCGGCCGAATCTAACGGAGCGCATACCTGTCGTGAGTTTACCCGTATCTTCCGGCCAACTCATACATCCCGGCGCACACCTCACCCTTTCTGGTAAGATCTGAATAAACACTTGAATGACTTATCAAAAATAATTGACGAATATATTATATTTAATGTTATTCATTGACTGTCTAGTCGTGAATTTATAATTGAGAAAATTGCCAAGGCACTTAACTAAAATACCCATATTTAAACCTCATAAAAATGTTGCACTTAAAAATATAGATTAGACTTACAGGTATAAATTTGAAGGTAGGATAGGGTGGGGTTAGTGTTTAGAAATNTGTCTAGTCGTGAATTTATAATTGAGAAAATTGCCAAGGCACTTAACTAAAATACCCATATTTAAACCTCATAAAAATGTTGCACTTAAAAATATAGATTAGACTTACAGGTATAAATTTGAAGGTAGGATAGGGTGGGGTTAGTGTTTAGAAATGTTTCAATACTTCAAATAGTCATTTTTAAATAATACAACAAATGATTGAATAGAAAAAGTGATGCTTTGGTTGAGTAGTGAAGCAAAAATTGTTTATAATATTCTCGTAAAATACTATTCAATTGGTTGTGATTTTCCGGTGCAGATCCGGTGACTAACCTTTTATACAGTATATTAAAAATATTGGCCTATAGGCTATACTAACTACAACTCATATCATATTAATTCTAATGAATTCAATGCATTCTCCAAACAAATCTTTTGTTATATTTTGTACTCTTTTGTGTCCAATGAATGTACAATCCATTTGTTTCGAATTCATTCACACATTTTTATTAAAATTAAACTAATAATGTACTATCTGTTAACATAATAGTAATTTATTAATTTTCCTTTTCACTGATAATTAATAAATATGTAAAGTAATTTATTAAGATTTTTAAAATCTGCAGATTTGCGATCGGCACAATAATATTTTCAATATCAATTTTTATCTCACATTTACTACTGTAGTAATAAGTCTAAAATAAATACATAGAATTTGCAGAATGTAAGTTATATGGTTTTTATTCTGACTCGTGAATTAAAAATTTTAAAAATAAATTACAGTGATTATTGAGTATTAGTATTGCAACATTTGTTAATTTGATGATAAATTGTTGGGACAGGTATGACAGACACAGGCAATGACTCCAAACAACTATTGTGTCGAACCGATAGCTCTCATGTGATGACTTGGAAGGGATGGCAAAAGATTAGTAGCGATTCTCCAGTGTTTGAACTTTTTGAAGACACTAACCATACGTTTCTGCAATGGTTTGGAAACGATTCTTTGCGCAAAAGTCTGCACCAGAAACTGGTCTTAATTCGGTTGACGTGCTCTTCAACACATGGAAATGTCGTTTATAAGCCTTGTATTTCCGTTCGGGTCGGTTGGGTCCCAGGATTAGGTCTTTCCTATCATATATTAAGCGCCAGTGAAAACCAATTCGTGACGACACCCACCGATAAAGGGCTCGATTCTCACAGTAACTACTCGTTAATAGGCGTTTGTTTGGGTTTGTTGGGTGTGATGTATGTCTCGGCGCTAATGATATATTTGAGAAGTAAAAGTTCACACAATATTAAACCAAATGATCGCATCATTGGTAATCAATTCCAATCGGATTCCATGAACACAAACACCGATTCAAATATGAGCTCAGATTACAGTCGAGACATACAATTGTCTGATGAAAGCCAGTCATCGCATAGAAGAGCTCATATGAATGAAGAATTGGATGACAGACACGACTCAGTTATTGCTAACAATAATGTAATTTCTAACTATTATTATAGCTTTGATTAAATAGCTGTCTATTAACAGATGATATAATTTCAGGCACTCTTCCAGTCTGACGATCATAGCTATCAAAGTGTTGAAAGTATAAGTTTGAAGACGAGTTCAAATTCCTCGCAGACTCGCAATGAGGATAAGAGACGACAACCGCGGGAACGGCCGCCGAGACATTCATTGAGAATAAATCCGGAACTTTTTGAGCCGCAACTGCTGTTAGAGCCGCCGCCCACTGCCGTAGAATTGCTGCAAAGGATTAGAGAACTCATTACTATAGCGAAGGGAAGGCTAAAAAATTTTCGCTTTCGTCCAACTCTTGTGGTTATTCCAGAAGACGATTACTTTTACAACGAATTCGCAATTAATCGGGCCTTAAATGATGGCACAAGACATGACATGGATGTGCTCACTCAGCCAACAGAGACTAACCGCCTGCTTGTCATTCCCAATGTTCATAATCAAGATCGTATTGACACTGCAATCAAGTCTTTTTATTCGCAATCAATGAATTCAAACATAAATTTAGATAACAATAGAGATTCTATAGAAAGTGAAACTAAAAGTAATATTCTTTACAATAAAATACCTATAAATATAGATAAAGAATTAGATCTCACGAAACAAGTTAGTGATGAAAGTGAATATTGGAGGAACTCTTCGATACCTTTGTCTCCCAAATCAAGACTAAATTCAAGAGTCTATAGAAATAATAAGAATTATAGACATCGAGACGAGTTTTCTTCAGAAAATGCAACTTTTGGTTCATATTCAGGCAGTGATAGTATGTTATGGAATGACATCAATACTCACACTTATCCTCATTATTCAGAAATCTCATCCGAGAAAATGACAGAGAGTTTAAGTGTTGAAAGTTGTTATAGGGATCAGACACCAGATCATCGAATGTTTAAATACCTGAAGAACTCTTTGGGAAAATTGAACACAAGGTCTAAATACAGAAGAAGTAATATTGTGACACTTAATAGCACTGATAACTGGACTCTCCAGAGAAATAGTAGGTCTAATTCGTCAAAGAGTGATAGTTGTGTGCAAAACAACTTAACGGCAATAACTGTGGCCACGAATGTCAACCCCTATTGCACTGAAACGGCTAATAATTTCAATGATTTCAATGATCCAAAGCCATCGCTCGAAAGCAATGAAAACAATGAATCTATAATTAGTTATGAATGTTATGCCAATTATAGTGACTCTGAGATGAGTACCACTTCTTCAGTGAAAGACAATCCATTACCTTCACTCGAATCGATTACATCAGAAGTGACAGATGATTGCGCGACAAACCATTGCACTCTAACATCCAGTTCTGCACTCAATACTGATTCCAGTGATGATTGTCTCACAGAAGAGGATCACAATACAATAGATGAATGTCTGCAACATTTAGCCATCGCTCCAATCGATGCAAATCACATCAATCATGACAGATATTACCAAAGAATAGGTCGCGCGAGTAAAGGCATGTCAGCCCTAAACCATTTAAACTCTAATCAATGGAACCATATTTGTGTCAAAAGAACTCATGGAAAGGGAGATCACAAAAGTATTAACAATTCAATAGAGTCTTCCGTTTTATAATCATTGAGAACTGATAATTGTGTGATATATTGACATTTCATGGCATCGTTTCATCGCTCAATCTGAACCAAACTATTATCTCAAGAGACAGACAAAGATCACTCTTTAGATATTTAACTCAACATCTCTTACAAAACCAATTAATTCTTTACCCAATAAACATCTCAAAGTACATCAATGTATAAATGAATTGCACGGTAAGGCACGGTAATTATCTTAAAAATAATAAGACTTCCATTTCATTGAAGGATATATAAGTTAATAGTTTATTGAAAACCAAGAAATTGATTGCTATGTAAATGTTTGGCAAATCTTATTTATTGTATGAATAGAGTACATGTCTATAATTGGTTTAAATTTATATAAAATACTATTTATTGTAAACTAATGTGAGCTTCAAATAGAAATTAGCGTTGAGTTCAATACGAGTGAGAAATCAAAAGCTAAGAGTAATTCAAACCAAACGCCATGCAAACAGTGGTCCAACCAATTGGTTAACTGATTCCAGTGGTGATCGACGACGCGATTCCCAATTCGCTCTTCTTCTCCAAGTCCTTGATCTCAATGATATCGCTCTTGAGTTTGAGTTTGAGTATAATTCTGGAGATGTCGTCCCTGTGCTGGGGGTCAGTAATGCCCAACCGCTGGAGTGTGGCGTCAGTGATGCGGACCAGCGATCGGCCGGTGATCTCGTTCTCGAGGAATGCGTTGCCATAGAGTCCGTAGTATTGTTCGCAGTGACGCTTCAACCACTTCATCACATCGGCGTTGTTCCAGAAGAAGACAGGTTTGGGACGACGACTGTTGCCGCCACTCATCTGACAGTTGGACCAATTGGTGATCTGTGCCGTCGACGCACTCGTGTCGTACACATAGCTATTGGACACGTCTTTCGTCATCACCACTACTCTGATGGGTGTCTTGGGATTCGTTCAAACGTTTGGTCAGTTTCGCTCTTTCGGATTCAATCAACCCTTCGATGTCCTGCAGTCACAAGAGATCACACATTAGATCAATAGAGACAAAGGGGTCACCACTCATGGCTGAAGTACTGGTTTATAGAAGTGATGCACTGTTTGAGAGCCCAATAAGACAGCCAACAAAGAAGTGCTTAAATATGAGATATATTGCGACCATTTCAGGCCATAAGGCATTCCTCTCGAGTTCACTGTCTGTCATACACTCTACCACTTCCACCACTTCTTGCAAGTAGTGATCACTGTTTACATCGTCTACTCAAACAACTGCTCATAAATAATGTGACGATTTTGCATCAAAAGGCAATCTATTGACAGTGAATGTATGACATCTAAATTGACTGCTTTTTACTAATAATAAATGTACAAGTTGAGTTAATTTACATGCATTTAGATCAAAGTAACTGTTAGTCTACAGTATTATCCAATAATACCACACTTTCTCAAGAGTTAGTCTACACTTAACAGTAACTGATCCATTCATATGAACCCATATTTAAGGTATTCATGACTCGGAGGTATGAGTATTGATGGCAACACCCTATGCCAGCCCTCCCGTCCCTCCCGTTGTGAGTAAAGAGTGTTAGCCTAAGAGTACAGACCAGTTGTCGCTGAAGTGACTGTTGAGCCAATCTCTTGGAGTACACGCTATAGAAGTTGACTGAATTGATGTCCAAATGAATCATAAGATACTCGACGAGAGCCCCGCAGCAGAAGAAGAGTGGGAGGAATGCATAGAAACCGAGTCTTCTCCTCAACGGCCAGTTTGTGATGACACGAGACAATAGACTCGTTGTGTCTTTGGATCCAGTCTTGCGGCCAAACATCCAATCACTGCTCACTCACTGACTGTCTGTCTGTCACTCACTCTTTGTTTATACGCCACTACTCTTCACAAATAGCGTAACTCTCGCGCCAATGAACCCCTCGTTCAACAGGTATTCAACTGAAAGAATGAAGGAATTGGTGGCCAATTGTGGTGCACATCCACAAGACATAAGACATTCATTACGGTTATGTTACTCTATCATAGTGTATGACCTCTGCATAAGATGTGCTCCACTTTACACTTTTGGAATATGATCATGTTCATTTTCATAATAAAGCACGTATTTGCTACACATTTTTGAAAAGTAATCAAATTCTTGTAAATGTTTCAATTAGCAAATTAGTTCTTAAAATCAAAGACCTCACTTAATTTCAAAGTAGACTTAATTATAAAAGTAAAGTAAAAACATTTAATGTCGCAATAATATTATGATATCTCTTAAAGCCTTTGTGTACAGAAAAAGTTTTTTCAAATAACTTTATTCATTAAGTAAACTTTATTGAACTTTTATATTTAACACTAAAATCATAATACCGTATAATTGCTAAATATATCAATACAATATTTCATATTTGAACAAGTTGTTAATAATAATGAAAATATATTTAAATTTAATTTAAACATAACAATTCTAATCATACTGTATAAGCATTTTCCTACACATAAATTAATTGAATATAAATAAGATATGAATGGAGTTAACTCAGAGGGCACTTATCCATACGAAGAGATTGGTTTATAAGTCTTTTTAGTTGTGGTTACGGTAGTGGTGGTGGCAGGAGTTGTCGTGGTGGTGGTCCTCTTATAATACCTTTTATATTTAGTGGTGGGCATTGGTGTGGTTGTGGTTGGGCTGGTTGTGGCCTCTGATGTTGAATATTGATAATAAGTGGTCTCTTGACTGGTTGGAGCTGTGGATGGAGTTGTCGTTGTGGTACTCGTTGTATATTTGGACTTCTTTTTAGCCGATTCTGTAGACAATATTTGCAGAATGAATACAATTGCAATACAGATAAACCAAATTCGTGTCATTTTTACTATTTTAATGATATTATAGGACATGAACTGTAGATAAAATAATCCATAAAAATATTTCAAATGAGTTTATATAGTATTTGTGAACTGATTTGTATGTCATTTAATACAATGAAATGATGATCTGTGATGACTGTCACTGGTTTGGTGTCCCAATGATTCATACGATTCCTACAATTGGGACAAAACCACAGTAAAAGTTGATCTCAAAATTTATATTAAAAACACGTTTTATTTATTCGTAAATATCAGAAAATTAGAGAAACATTGAAAAAATAATATTAAAGCAAATCATTATACGGTAATAAAAAAAGTATTGGGAATGGGATTAAGCGGTCTCCGGCTGTTCCTCGTCGTCGAACTCGCCCTCGTCCTCAGCGGTCGCTTCTTGATATTGTTGGTACTCCGACACCAAGTCATTCATATTAGACTCGGCTTCTGTGAACTCCATCTCATCCATACCCTCACCCGTATACCAGTGGAGGAAAGCCTTTCGACGGAACATAGCTTTAAAGGGAAATAAAGAACAATATTATGAATACTGTTTGCATGGAAAAGGACTCAATTTGATTGAATGACTGGCAATGACTGACCCGTGAATTGTTCAGATATGAGTTTATATAGTATTTGTGAACTGATTTGTATGTCATTTAATACAATGAAATGATGATCTGTGATGACTGTCACTGGTTTGGTGTCCCAATGATTCATACGATTCCTACAATTGGGACAAAACCGCAGTAAAAGTTGATCTCAAAATTTATATTGAAAACACGTTTTATTTATTCGTAAAAATCAGAAAATTAGAGAAACATTGAAAAAATAATATTAAAGCAAATCATTATATTAAAAGAAGTATTGGGAATGGGATTAAGCGGTCTCCGGCTGTTCCTCATCGTCGAACTCTCCCTCGTCCTCAGCGGTCGCCTCTTGATATTGTTGGTACTCAGACACCAAGTCATTCATATTAGACTCCGCTTCTGTGAACTCCATCTCATCCATACCCTCACCCGTATACCAGTGAAGGAAAGCCTTTCGACGGAACATAGCTTTAAAGGGAAATAAAGAACAATATTATGAATACTGTTTGCATGGAAAAGGACTCAATTTGATTGAATGACTGGCAATGACTGACCCGTGAATTGTTCAGAAATACGTTTGAATAGCTCTTGAATGGCAGTTGAGTTGCCGATAAAAGTGGCCGACATTTTGAGTCCACGCGGAGGGATATCACAGACGGCGGTCTTCACGTTATTGGGGATCCATTCGACGAAATAACTGCTGTTCTTGTTCTGGACGTTCAGCATCTGTTCGTCCACTTCCTTCATAGACATGCGTCCCCTGAAGATAGTGGCGACCGTCAGATAGCGGCCGTGTCGGGGATCGCAGGCGGCCATCATATTCTTGGCGTCAAACATCTGTTGCGTGAGTTCGGGAACAGTTAGGGCTCTGTATTGTTGCGAACCGCGGGATGTGAGCGGAGCGAAGCCGGGCATAAAGAAGTGCAGTCGCGGGAAGGGAACCATATTGACGGCCAGTTTGCGCAGATCTGCGTTCAGTTGGCCCGGGAATCGGAGACAAGTAGTCACTCCAGACATTGTCACCGAAACCAAGTGATTGAGGTCTCCATAGGTAGGGGTCGTTAGTTTGAGGGTTCGGAAGCATATGTCATACAGCGCTTCGTTATCAATACAATAGGTTTCGTCAGTATTTTCAACCAATTGGTGGACAGAGAGGGTCGCGTTGTAAGGCTCGACTACAGTGTCCGATACCTGACGTATAAGGCATTGTGTAATGAATGCAAGAATCAATATTAGGGTAAAATAGTGACAAACCTTAGGCGATGGCATAACACTGAATGTATTCATAATACGGTCGGGATATTCCTCACGAATCTTAGAGATGAGAAGAGTTCCCATTCCAGAGCCGGTTCCGCCACCCAAAGAGTGAGCCAATTGGAAGCCTTGGAGGCAATCGCATCCCTCGGCCTCTTTGCGGACCACATCGAGCACTGTATCGACGAGTTCTGCGCCTTCGGTGTAGTGGCCTTTCGCCCAATTATTTCCGGCACCGCTTTGACCGAAAATGAAGTTATCGGGTCTGAAGAGAGCCCCGAAAGCACCCGAACGAACCGAATCCATGGTTCCCGGCTCTAAGTCCAGAAGAATAGCTCGCGGCACGTATTTGCCCACTGAATGCAACCATTTTTGTTATTAGTTTATATACAAATGCAATAATTGTCTCGTTTTGGTTCATTCAAACCGATTTGAATGTATTAAAATGTATTGTGTTATCAATTTTTACTAATTAGCAATCTTTGTGCAAGTTTTCCTGTCATTTCAACTAATCTATTAATACGGGAATCAATTAAAAGTCATGAATGGGAATTGATTGCCAAAACTTTTGTTTTTATGACTGATACTAATAGATATAATGTACTAAAAGTGGTGCAAAGATTTAGTAAAGAAAAATAAACTTTTTAATGACTTTGACATGAAAGGCATAAAATTTGATAATTTTGTAAAAGTAAAATAAAGTTTAGGTGTAAGGAAATGGATACAAAGTCAAGTTTGACAATTGGGATGACCTGCCAAAGCATTTGGGGTGATATCTAGAGTTTGGTGGGCGAGGGCTGGACTGGTAGATGGGATTAAACTAATTAATGTGTTGTTTGATGGGGTAAATCACCTCAACTTAAATTGATTTCCATATTAGGAATGTATTGAATGTATAGAGAACTACAAGTCTGACAAGTGATGCAAAACTTGAAAAACAAGTCCTTCTCATAAAAAAATGAGTGAAAAGGGCTTCAAATGAATGAATAGATGAACGAAGGCTTGAATAGTGGTGTGAATTGAATGCCTTATTTGGCGATTGACACGATTCCAGGCACACCATCACCACTCATATCACCCACACATTCAACACCACAACACAAACATTAGATTCAAAGAACTCTTCCATTCATTCATTCATTACTTTATTTGGTATTCAAATGATTGCCTTTTAAGCAAAGAGAGAGCAAATGATGGCAATAATGGGTGATAACTGACCGGAAGCCTCGTTGTAGTAGACATTGATGCGCTCCAACTGCAGGTGACTGTCCCCGTGGTAGGTGCCGGTGGGGTCGATGCCGTGCTCATCACTGATCACTTCCCAGAACTAAGACAATACACCATCAGTTACCACAAGTACACCACAGCATAGACAGTATGATAGGACCCAAGAGGTGCTCATATAAGGCATACCTTAGCGCCGATCTGATTGCCGCACTGTCCGGCCTGGATGTGCACTATTTCACGCATTGTGTCCGCAAATCACTTATCGCTTCCAAAACAAAGACAATATCTTAGAGAGAGATCTGTGGCTCAGTTGTGGCGACAGTTAAGCACTCAATGAGTCAATCGATTTGCAGTCAGTTTTGCCTTAATTTCAAACTCATCTCAAATCCAGTCATTTGACGTCATCTCGAGTCTCAGCCAATCAGAGCGAAGCATCGCTTAGTGTTCGGCTATTTGTTTGGTTGACTTTATTTTGCCGGAATTGTGTCTATTGTATGCAATCCTACGGTCATATGTGCCACAACTTCCCAATGGAAACATGAACATACACTCTAACACATGAATATAAAGTGTTCAAAGTTACCAAACATTTATGGCTTTTCATAATTATTACAATTTTATTTGCATTTAAAGTTTAAAAATTACTTAAATCTTGATTTATATAAATATAATAGTATTGAACACAAGTTTTGCAATACAGAGAGAGTCGATCATTGATTGCAAACTGTGGGCAGGGATTCAGTTTGTGGGACATATATATTGTCACGTTATTTGCGATTTGCGTTCAAATTGCGAATGCATTCAATGATAGACTGATTGTGTTTTGTGCCGACTGTGAGTCACTGCAAGTGACCACCGATTCAAGCGATAGATCCAGTTGTGGGGGAAGTCATGACTAATTACATGCAAAACGAAAGGCTCAAGAAGTTGGACGCCATCGAGAGTCAGTTGTGCCAAATGATGGCGAGTGCCTCCCAGGCCTTTCAGGAGCTCAGCAAAGACAAGCCCAGCATTAAGAACGTCGAGACACAGACCAATGCCTTCCTCAAGACACTGGAGGCGGTCGACGCAGACATCTCCAAACAGATCCAGTACTTGACACGTGTGTCGACAGGTCAGGCCCACGAGGGCTCCTCCTATGCGTCCATGAAAGTCAATCACATGGCGTGGCATCGGTTGGAGCACTCGAGGCAACGGCTCAACGACTTGGACCGACTCCGACATCAACACCAACTCCAACTGCAACAACACACTCAACACCACTCACTCGCACCACAACCACAGCCACCACAACAGCAGCAGCAGTGATGATATACTGTGTCTTATAGTATGGCAACAATTGTGACAAAAACCCATTTATTGATTACAAACTCAAGACATGTCTGACTCTAATGACTATAATCTGTAATCCAATGAATATATTATTTATTCTTTTTCTTCATTTGTCTGTTTGTTTCCAACTCTTGATTGTATTGTTCGATGAGTTGTTGCGTGACATCAGGTCTGGTGGGAGAGTATCTGCAGTACTCCATAGTGTAGTCTCCCTTTCCCTGCGTGGATGACCTCAACTCACCGGCGAATCCGAACATATCGTTGAGCGGAACCTAACGTTCAATGAAACAGACAATCAAAGCATTTGACAGCAAAAGTCAAATAAAATATCAATTACTTCGGCATTAATTGTGAACCAATTGTTTGATTCGTCGGTTGAGAGGAGAACCCCTGAGCGTCGGGATACCTGTCCGATGAGCTCTCCCTGAAACTCGGAGGGACAGCTCACCTCCACATTCATGATGGGCTCCAGGATTTGCCATTTGCCCATATCGTAGGTCTGGCGCATAGCTCCCTGTGCGGCCAACATGAATGCCATATCATTAGAGTCGACGCAGTGATGTTTGCCGTCTCGGAGTCGGAACTTAAGGCCAATGAGTTTGTGTCCACTAAGAGGTCCCTTTTCGCACATCTGTTGGAACCCTTTGCGAATGGATGGCACGAAATGTTTGGGTATATTAGGACCGGACGTCTCGTCTGAGAATATATTCTGTGTGTTTTGGTGCGGAGGCAACGGCTCGACTACTCCCTGAACGCAGCCGTACTGTCCGGCGCCTCCACTCTGTTTTTTGTGTAAGTAATCGAAAGGACACGACCGCACTATCGTCTCCCTGAACGCCACTTTAGGTTTGCCCAAAATGACGGGACAGTTGTACTCCCTTTCCATGCGTTGGGCGTAGATTTCGAGATGCAATTCACCCATTCCTGAGACTATAGTCTCTTTGCTCTCATCGTCCCAATGGCTCCGAAAAGTGGGATCTTCTTTGCAGAAGCGAGTGATGGCTTTGAGAAAGTTCTCCATCGAGTCCTTCGACACTGTCTTCATCGACATCGAGATGACGGCTTCGGGAATATATATGGATTCCATCGATATATTGGATTCTCTTTGAGTGACAAAAGTGTCACCACTGGCGCAGTCGACGCCATAGAGGGCACAGATATCTCCGGCCAACGCCTCATCGATTTCCTCCATTTGGTTGGAATGCATTCGAACCAATCGCGAGACCTTCACCTTCTTGCCGGTCCGAGAGTTATATATATAACTACCTTTCCGTAACAGTCCCTGATATACGCGCATATACGTCAACTGTCCAAAACGGCCTGCCTCCAACTTGAATGCCAGTCCCACAAACATATTACTGTCACTTCTTTCCGCATTCATTAGCAGCCGCTTCGGAGCCGAGCCCTCCTCTTCGTGCACTAGAGAGTAGTTCTTCACTTCCGATGGATTCGGCAGATAACTGATGACAGCGTCCAACAAGTGCTGAACCCCTTTGTTCTTTAAGGCGCTTCCGGTCAGCACTGGTATGAACTTTAAAGCTATACACGAGCGACGAATTGCATCCTTTAATTCAAAGAGTCATTTGTTTTAATAGATTCTTAAATTACGATAAATGACAATCAATTAAACCATTATTTGCTGATTGTTTGGTTGCTTTTCATCAAGAAACATTTCACCCAAAATATCGTCACAATTAGACAGACATTCAACCAGTTCTTGGCGTTTGGTCTCCATTATGGACACCATATCTTCGGGAACGTCACCCTCTCTAACAATTTCACTTCAATTCATTGACAATATATTTTAGTTTATATTTCAAACAATGACTGCATTTCAAAGCGAACCCATTATTGCCCTCAAAGAATACGGCCTTTCGGTGGATGAGGTCCACAATACCCGTGTGTTTCGACTCGAGACCAATGGGTATATTAAGGAAAGCGGCGTTGAATCCGAGTTTGTGTCTGAGCTGATCGATCACTCGATAAGGATTGGCAGCCATTCGGTCCAATTTGTTGATGAATGCAATGCACGGCACGTCATACCTCCTCATCTGTCGGGTGACAGTCATGGTCTGCGACTGAACGCCTCCTACCCCGCAGAGCACGAGTACTGCCCCGTCGAGCACTCGTAGGGCTCTCTCCACTTCGACCGTGAAGTCCACGTGTCCGGGAGTGTCGATGATGTTGATGGCAGTGCCCTTCCAGTTCACATAAGTGGCGGCCGACTTGATGGTGATGCCCCTCTGCCTCTCCAACTCCATGGAGTCCATTGTGGCGCCGATCTGGTCCTTACCCTTCACTTCATGCATCTCTTGGATTCGCCCGCAATAGTAGAGAACCCGTTCAGTCAGAGTAGTCTTCCCGCTGTCGATGTGCGCCGATATCCCGATATTGCGGATCAGTTCCGCCGGTCGGTGCCATTGCTGACCGTTCGCCGACGATTCGGCAACACTGGCAAAGAGTCGGTGCCTCGCACTCACTGGACCAGGGTCACCACCAACACCACCATGCTACATTTGCCACAACAATCAGTTGCAAAAACATATCACATTTCACTTATTGCCGACGATTCGGCAACACTGGCAAAGAGTCGGTGCCTCGCACTCACTGGACCAGGGTCACCACCAACACCACCATGCTACATTTGCCACAACAATCAGTTGCAAAAACATATCACATTTCACTTATATCTCAAACCTTTATATGTCTGAAGTCTTGCAGTAATTTTCGGTAAACTTTAAGTGAAAAGCTTTTGTCCAAAAAGTTTAGTTTAAACATAATTTGAATTGAATTAAAATCTAATGAATTATTTCAAATTAAATCATTGAATCACATGTCAGTCAAAACAATTCAATCAACTGATGAAATGCCGGCAATTCATAGACAACGTTACTATTATAATAATTACTGTATAGTACAGTCTCTGTATTAAGTAATACACCTTTTCCACCAACTAAACTTATTAATTTAATATTATCAATTAAAATTGTATATTTCTAATACATAATGTTTTGTTGAGATTATAGAAAATTTAGACAAAACATCAAATACCGGTAATAAAAAATAAATTTAAAAGAGTTGTAAGTCATTTTATTTAATAAACAATAATTATTAGAGTTACATACTGTAAATTTATATACCGTAGTACTAAATCATATCAATTATAGTGTACTTATGATCCCAATCGGGTCTAGAGTACAATCAATCAATGAATGGCGAGATCTAAACCATCGAATCAATGACTAGCGATGTGATGGTGATTGTGATTATGATGGTTGTGGTGATTGTGATCCAAATGTTTGTAGTATTCGTGGTAATCATAGGTACGAAGCGGAACCTCAAACGTCAAGAGCCCGCAGTCTTTAGCCAAAGTGATGGCAACCAATAGCTGTTCGTATTGTTTGGCACAAAGACATAGAATGGTATTCTCGTAGACATAACCCGAATGAGGATTAATGAAGTGATTGAGTAGATCCATGTTCTGCCAATTCATTTGGGCATTAGTTGCACACCTTTTACACTAGTAATACTAGTAATACTAGTAATACACTCACCGTATAGTGAAGTACGAGATACTGGTCGCGACAAATGGGACAGGGATTGGATGTGTAGACATAGTCATCGATAATACAAGTGCTGCGGGATTTATACGGCGAGTACTGGCCCTTAAAGTTACGCCGAAATAACTGCCAGACCTTGTGGTGAGCGTACGTCTCCTTAAAGGCTAACCAATTCATCAAACAATTACATGACAAACACCACACAATCACAAGTCATGACAAACACCACACAATCACAAGTCATGACATACCTGTGCTCTTCAGATACTGAATACTCTGTTCCGGAGTAATCACTCGACTCCTGTCCCGCAAAGGGTCTCTCATGTCTTGTTTGGTGTCTTGAGATGAGCACAGAGTTCGTCTGAAGTGATGAGTGAATGTATGGTTTGGACCACATTTGAGGGCAATGTTGGAGAAGATCCTCATCTGATTCATAACTGTTTGCATCAATTGTCGGTTAATTGCAATGAAAACATCAAAACAAATGCAAACTCAGAGTCAGTGCACGTGAGAGGCTCTCAAAGCCTATGACCGATACTAACGACACCTACTGTTGCAGCGATGGGCTAAGACTTGACATCAATTGAATACTCTATTAATCCACTTATAGTTATACTTAACTTATTATAACTTGAGATAACTTCGTGTTTAATAGCACTGTATTGGCCGTCAGTTTTCATATGATATTCAATGAAAGTATCAAATGATGTAATGTCTGAAAAGGCGTTCATTTCCGTTGATCTCATTTGAATAACTCCTACAGAAATGACTCCAAAAAGTCTGATTCCTGAGGACAAGGAAATGATAATTCATTTCTCGATAATTACTGATAATGAAAAAATTATTATTATTTGGCATTAATTTTATTGATATATTAATATACAGTATAATCGCAATTTAAATAAAATTTGAATGTATAGCAAAATATATTACAAATATGACACTAATTATCTATATTATAAAAGTGTTGATTTGTCACAAATTGTCAATCTTTTAGGAAATGGATTGAATACAGTATTTGTCCAATAATTATACAGTATATGATGAACACTGAATGTCCAATTGAACACTGGTTGTGGACTTTGTACTGTAGGGCAATGAAGATTGTATTCAATAGAAATTGATGAGTTTGTCAATGAGATTGAGAGGTTGCGAAACGGGAGGCCAGTTATGCGTTAAAGTTGTGGTCAATGTTTTCCAAATAAAAACAAATTTATATGAATTTCCAATTTTAATTTTATTGAATCATTTGATTGTAAGGTTTGTTATATAAAAATAAATCTGCGCTTACAATATGTAATAATCATTAAAATCATTATATGATTAGAGCAGTGAAAAAATGTTTAATTAGTTGCAAAAAATGTACAAATATTTAGTCTATATTTTATACTTTCATTTGTCAGTCATTTAATTACTGATATATAATTTCCTAAAATATTCTCAAGTTATTTACAATATTTTACAATTGAGTTAATGCATGGATGAAATAAAATATAAATAAATGAAAATGAATTCAATTTAATTAATTGTTTTGAACCTAAACGCAAATTCAGGTCAAATGGATTCGTGACTGTTTTGACTGCTGGTCGACGACTGGTCTGACATAGACTGCGAGTCTATGGGCGTACGTCTGCTCTGGACTGGTATTCCCGACGAGACGCCACTCTCCAACTTGGCTGACATCCAGGGGTGGGATAGGATGTCCTCAAGCGATGGTCGATCGCAGGGCGAGATTGAGAGGCACTTTCGGATCAGATCTTGACATTCGGACGACAACTTTCGCCGGAAACGGACGTCCGCTGAGAGAATGTCGGAGTCCTTCTCGAAGGGAATATCGCCGCAAACCATGTCATAGAGGAGTACTCCCAACGACCAGACAGTGGCTGAGCGGCCGTGATATCGGTTGTGGCGGATCCACTCGGGCGGTGAATATACTCGCGTTCCTATGCATACAGAATACACACAATTAGATCAATTATAAAGGTATGTCTTAATTGCATACAAATGCAGTCAAAGAGTGATAAATAGCAGGCATTGGCAGCACATCTCTGAAGGACGTGAGACGACCTCTAAATAGCAAATACTCGACAACAGCTACACTACAGCCTTATAATGGTGTGAATGTGTGTCCACACAAATGCTAAGGGTTTGTACAGAGATGTAGAGGTAATGTAATGAGAAATCAAGTGATTATCTGCATGTGAGTGTGCGATGGTATGTCTATGTCAGCCATATTGCAATCCTCGCACCAATTGTTATTCAAGGTTTGAGTTTTAGTGAATGGGAACACCATTTGGGAATAGAATATGAGAATTGGGAATGTGACCCAGTTAGGTTAGGTTATGCATAGTTACCACCACTACAAACATGTGATCCATTCACTTATCAAGTCTTACAACCATTTGATTGCCACAAAGTCTAACTAACTGTTGTGATCACAAGAGTCGACACACTTTTGTATAAAAGAGAAAATTGTTTGCAATTTATAAATAAATACATAAGCAATGCATGCATCAGGAAATCAATGTTTGCCATCACATCAATGCTAACCATAGGACAAGTCAGACATGTTTCATATAATAATAGTCATATTGGATTGAATAGCAATTAAAGGGACATTGGTTTGAATGTACTGTACTTATAGTCTTATAGGGAATTAGCGTTTGGTATTTGTATGCGAAAAGTATGGAAAAACCAGTTCAAGTGCCTACTAATGGATAGTTGGCATTCCAGAGCCCATACATTTTTGTCAATAAGTTTGAGGCCTAAGGGTGTGTCTGTCTTCGGTGGTCATATCAACACAATTGTCATTTGCCTCCTAATTAGACACAACACCTGTTTTACATTAATTAATATAAACTACTTTGCTATACATTGTAGTGAATGTATTGGTGTAATGCGGGTTTCATTGGTATTGTATACAGTATGACATGAAAGCAATCAATTGATTATCTCATTAATAGTCATCCATTGGTGTGCAGTGATAGGGGCGCAGGGGTTGAATGGCCACAACAGTGTACTAGTGGTGGTCCCAGTGGTGGCACTGGTAGCATAGGGCCGGTGACCTCCGGGTGTGCGCCTGGAGGGAGCACTGCATTCCTCAGTAGCTTTGCTTTTGGTGCGCAAATGCACTCAATGTATGCAGTGATGGCGTAATGTCTGTCAGCCATAAGCCATATCGACAGACACTACCACTCGAGTGGAGTCGACATCACAAATATTTGAGACAAACTTTTCACTCTTTAGCGCACTTTTTGTCACAACTCCTCAATACTTATTCATGCGTTTGTCTCACTATAACCGACAATCCAATGCCCTATACCTGTACTGCACTATACTATACCCCTATACACACCTATAATGTTATTGTTATTGTAATACAATATTGCCATCAATTGTAATGTAATTGAATGTAATGTCAAACCATTGATATGATAGATAAATGTCAAGAAGTTTGACAGAGAAGTGCACATCTCGACAAATAGATACAGTCTCTCGAGTCCTACATGTAATCATATCTTTGTTTGTAAAGCAATTAAATAATTAAAACAATGAATTCATATAAACATATGAATGAATGGTCTAAAAGTATCCAAAGTATGCCTATTTGGGTCATAACGCATGCGATGGCAGAAAAGGGAACAAACAGTTGAGACAAACATTATAAACATAATTCGCAATCAAATCCAAATCAAAATAAATAAATAAAATAATTATTAGTGTTATTAGTGTTGAGGAAAACCCACTTTCATTACAACACTATCCGTACATTTGCTTCAAGAGCTGAGGTATTCTGTGGTATAGTGTTTGGGGTTAATTAGAAATGAGATACAAGTGGTGGACACAAAACAATCACTAAATTAATGATCAATAGAGATGTGTTTGGGAGAAGACGTCAATAAATAAGACAATCGTTGGGAATGACGTAAAAGGAAATATCGGAGTGAGAGATGACGTATAGTTGTTGTTGTCTATAGACGTGTGGATTGCTATATACTCTATACATGTATTCAGTATACCTGTAGTACACTATACACTATATGCTAGAGTAGAGTAGGATTAGTGACGGATTGGCTATAAATACATATTATTTATGTCTTAATTAAAGCCATTTGTTTGTAAGCAAAAAAACACAAACAAGTCGTCATCAGTGGTAAGCGCCCACTCATCCCAGTGTGCCGTCTGGCCATAGATGGCCTCATATGCCACTACCCGCGCAGTCATAGCACTATCACTCTTAGTCTCAGTTATCCGCAAACACTTACCGTCGAAGTCGGTGTACGCGCTGTCCTTTAAGTAGGCGCCGGAGCCGAAGTCGACAATCTTGAGGGTATAGGTGCGCATATCAACCAATATGTTCTCGTCCTTTATATCCCGGTGAATAACACCCGCCTTATGACACGCACTCACAGTCTCGACCACTTGTCGGAAGAAGAGTCGCGACAACTTCTCCTCGAGAACAGCCTTTTCGGTGATGAAGTCGAACAAGTCTTTGACGGCTTCCGGTCTCTCCATTATAATGATAAACGAATCGCTCCTTTCGTACCAATCGATCAGTTTTATCACACCTGAGATGTGATCCACTTTTCGCAGGAGACTTATCTCGAGAGGCAATCGGTGTCCCGAACACTGCGGAGGACAACAGACACACCATTGTAGGCACAGTCATGGCAGTCATCACAGAGTCAATACATACCCCTTCCCAAGCCGTCACCTTGTCTTTGCTGATGTGCTTAATGGCCACCTATTCATGGATTAGACATACATTTAGTCATACAGTCATCAACGCATCCAATGAGCCAAACAGTGGTCACTCATAGCAGTCGTTGCGAGCACTGCATCAGTGGTGCAGTGAATGCCTGTTTTGGCGCCCATTCACAGCATTCACACAATTCGTGAATGAGTGGCAAAATGGCGGCAATGAGTGACTGTTTGTTTGAGCGCTCATTGAGTGTGGCATTCACTCCATGGACGCAATGTCTGAGTGGTTACTGACCGCCAATGAGTCCTTAATCCGTGTGCCGGCATAGACGGTGCCGAAGCCGCCCTTCCCGAGCACTGGTCCCACTCGATAGCACTTCTCGAAGGGCTCTCTATCGCGAGGGGTTGTCTTCATTTGGGACATCAATGATCAACACGACATACACGAGACACAAGTGGTCATCAACATCCAAGTGGTAGTGATAGGGGTAATGTGGTCAGTGGTGGGCCGGTGTCCCGGTGTCAACACAAACACTGTGGGCTTCGCTGAGCACTGGTAGCACTGGTAGGATAGGGGAGTGAGAGCACCGACACTACAGCTATACAACTATACAGCAAATGGCAAACGTATGCAATGAGAGAGTAAACGACTGACACGTCTGTATCCACACAACTCCACCGCACGTCTGACTCAATGCCAGTTAAGGCTCGCAATACACTCAATGGCTCTTATGGTACTCACTCTCACACTCACACAACCACTACGACAGCCAATGGCAGCGCACTATGCGCTCCACTCACCCCTCAGACCCCCACTCACGCACTCATACATACATGACGTGCAAAGGGGGCACACAATTGGCGCACGTTTTTGTGAGTGCGATTCAAATGAAAAGTTTGGTGTCAATGAAACGTTAATAACTCTAATCATCACAATCAACACCACTGCCATCCTATCCATCACGACATGCCATCACCAATGCATATACGACACCATCCATGGCCACCAAATGACCGCACGGGGGTCCGGGTGTCCACTCAGACCACACACCCGCAGAACTCTATGCTTAGGCGTATGAGTGTGTCTGACGTGTGGGACAGTGTGTGATGAGGTGGTGGTTGGGCGCGAATCCGTGCCAATACACTCCGGCAGCGCTATTACCTCTCTATACTGTACTACAGTATTGCCAATACATTGGACTCACACTTACATATACAGTACCATTGTATTAGAAATGTATGCAAAACATAGCACTGTTTAACCCGAACAGTGCATTCACTGGACATGAGTTATGTAAAGGTTATGATAGGCATTGATTGCATTGATGAATGCAATACCCAATACAATACATTAGTTATACTATAGGTATAGCAGTGATTGCATGTGTAGTAGACTAGTAGTACAGTAGTAATAGTGTTGTAAGCATTAGGCTTTAGTACGAATAAGTGACGCATCAAATGAATCTCATGAAACATGTATTTATTGATGGATTCACGAGAATTGGATAATAATAATAATGATGACAATTATGCAAACTATAGCTAATGTGTATTATAGAGAAGTGTGAGTGCAGTCATAGTGCACTTACACTACTTGTAATGTGCAATAAGACAGTACCTTGTACAATCGCTATATTCCTATATTCTATATACAGTACAGAATATGAGAATATATTCTCATATTTTCAATGAACTTGCGATCAGACGACTAGACACTGAATTGAAGCAAAAATAAAAGTTTTTCTAAATTCATAACTCAATGGATGCTTATTATAGACAAAACATGTTAACTCTGATTGATCTCTACGTCTAACACTTGTTTTCACTACTAATACAATACAGTAATTATAATTACAAATAAATATCACTTGTTTCATATGTTGTCTATTAGTGTAATGTAGGCTATTATGTGAAGGTGTAAGCTATAGACTAGTAGGTAGGTGTGAGCCCTGACCCCTGGTCTACCCCTTAGCCAACTAACTATGAGATGTTATGCAAGTGTCGGACAATTGGTGTAGTATTTGGAGACCACTTGTAATGAATTGTTAGTGAGTTTTGGCGCTCTTTTGACGAGTCGTGAGAACCTGTGAAGCAGTGAATGAATGGATGGCTTGACGTGAGAATCAGTAGGAATGCCGTCTAACCGGCCATTCTATACCATTGCATACCATACCATTGCATACCATACCTCTGTCTACCATATTATAGCATTGCATATATGGTCCCAATTATGGTTCAACAGTTCACAGAACACGGGACACAGTATGCCATAGTATGGCATAGTATGCATTGCATAGGCTATAGGCATAGTATATATACCATGAATGGCATGAATGGCGAGTCAACTCACAGGATGTTCAATGCCATCAATGGTGTGGTGGTTGTGGTGGTGGCGCACCCATACATGCCATACATGTCATACACCATACACTGTATGACTGTATGGTTCCGCCACCACATCACTCGAGATGGCTATACGGCTATACAGGGCTGTAGAGGCTATGGAGACGGTGGAAAGCAGGGATTGCTTGACAGTGGATGCGAGCACTGGTAGTTTTGGTAGGTCTGGTCTGGTCTGAGGTCTGCATTCCTATCATTTTCGCGCCACAAATGCAAACATTCCTCCACTCAAGACATGGCAACACTTCCTCCCTATTGTTAACTCGCATTTGGTATCAGTTTTGCGAAATAAACACAAAAATCATATTTAAATGCCTTATGAAAAGGCATTCAAATAATACTCAAATTAAAGTTTTCCTCAATTTGTTGTGAAATAGTTTTGATAATTATTTGCGTAAAACTTAAAATAGTTTTCTCGAAATGCATACTAAATGAATACTTAATGAATACAACAAACGAGTGTTTGTCTCAATTCTTACAACACTTCTAATACTTGTATAGTCTGTATATTAATAGTAATATTTCGCAACGAATGGCGTATAAGTTATGTATGAATATAACCTAAAACTTAAGCGCTAATGAAATACTAGATCTACTAATTTGTGGCCAAATATTCAAATAACAAGTTTTCGCCACAAATACACAAATGTTGAGTATATCTAATCCAAGAGCTCTTGCTCTCAAAAACAAACCTTCGTTTTTTACAAACAATTTGTACATATTTTCAGATAAATAACAATATTTTCAATTTAATTTCAATGTTGTTTATTTGAGAGATGGATGATTCATTTTTCTGCCAAAAATAGTCACTTATTCAGTGTGTTTGCCGTTTGACTGCTAACCAATTCTTTAGTAAATTTAGTGTAGAGATTACACAATTTGTTTACAACTTATTGATTATATCAATATATTTATTTAGCATTAACAAAGTTGTTTAATATGTCTTTTTATTTTCTCAACAGTATTTCCGACGAATATTTCCTTAATTTTTTAACGTTTAAAAATAGAAATAATTTATTTTAATAAATACTCAGTTAATAGCTTTGAAAATAATGAGAGGATAAACAATTGCGAGTAAATGTGGAAAATTCCCGAACCATTCATTTTTCTATGAATTATTAGATGTACGCCAAACACGTAAATTGACAACAAATGTGTGTTTCAAATAAATCTTAAATCAAATCCTTTAAATTAGGTTACAGTGACGGTATATTTGGGAATTTACAAGTGGGGAGAGAGAGAGAGAGAGAGAGAGTTGATGTGTGTTATACAATGTACAGTATTACGTCCGTGTACTGCTATATAGTATATAATGTAATCACTATTCTATTGTATAATTTATTATATTTGTATTGTTATTGTAATGAAAATGTAAATTGACGTAAACGACGATAATTAGCGACGAACCAACACCTGAGAGGATCTGGAGGGACGGGAACGTGATTTTTCATAACCAAATGACAGTCATTTAAAGTCATTTAGATGTCTATTGTGAAGATGGGAACCAGAATCGCGTTATTCTGAAAAACAGTTCATTTGTAAAACACCTGCTCTTCAGCACATGGTTTCAGATCCTGTCTTATATTGAAACATCGTATTTACTCGTAGTTGGTCTCCAATACATTAGATATACCTAACAGTGAGCCTACAATATGATTCTTATCACACAATTGAAATCACACAAAAAGTACAGCGCATTCAGAAAACAATACAGTATTTTAAGTATATTGCACATATTAATATAACTTTTTATTATTATAATTTCTAAATGAAATAAATAGTATTTCTGACTTCTAAATGATTGTACTGTAATTGATTTGAATTGATATATACAATAAGAAGAAGTTGTGAGTATTTGCCGGTAGATAAGTTAGACTACGGTAGGGTACAAAAGGTTTATAATTGATAGCACTTGTGAGCATTTACTCCTACTGTTGAACTATTGGCGCCAATAATGTGTATATTCTGTACGGTATAACACATACAGAATGCAATTGAAATGAAAGTTTTCTCAGAACTATTGCCGGATAAACATATCAATTGTTATCTCTGGTCTATTAGTCTGTAATATTATTGCATTATTAAATGTTTCAAAATCTCTACTCATTTATAATTTCATTTAATTTGTTGCACTCACACTTTGCAAACTTTGGCTACAATACAGTATCAAATTAATTATAATTTTTATTATCTTCACAAATATTTTTATAACAATACATGCGTTCGGCTCTTATATCAAATGTATATTAAAGAGGAGACGAGGGTTAAGCACATGACAATCATTTTGAATTCATACTAATTATAACAGTATACCATTGCCGGTAATGTAATCACCTAAGCGGCAATCTGCTAATTAATATCACATTTATTACTTTGTTCGCAGTATTCTCTAGTACTGTATAATGTATACAAATGAACACAATTTGTATACAAATTTTATTCATAATAAATAATTTCATACAAAACAAAACATTCCAAGTTTAGTCATTTGACATATAAAGACATTTCAGATACTGTATAATGCAATACTGTTTTAATTTAGTACTAAACAAGACTTTGAAATTAGAATTTGTTTTTGTAAATACTGGTGACAGCACAGGCAGATATTTGAGCAATTTTCAACACTGTACTGTACCCTATTAATTGGTACTTTTAATCACAATTAGTTTTGTTTAAAAAACATTTTATGTTTTAAGACTTTGCGCTTATTTACTGTAAGCAATGGATATGTTTAGTGTATTAAAGTGCGGAGTGTGTCATAGATTCATAAGAATTAGACAAACACTACAAACACTTTCAATGTCTTTGGTTTCTTACAGTGGAGTATCAGTACATCACTGAACACTCATTGCACTCAATGTCCCCCCAAAACATCTCATCTCTTGAGCCGAACTTTGATATTTATAAACATTTCATTTCAATCTACAAATATTTAAACTTTGATTTCTCGTCAAATAATTTGTTCACTCATTCGTTGATCACATTGAATGCCATGTTTTAAAGGAATTTGTAATTAATGATCAATCGATGAAATCATATGAAGGTACCTGATTAAGACATGAGGGAAAGACAGACAGACAGATAGTCATACAGACAGAGACATAGAGATGGAGAGTGAGTGTGCTCATATTATCAACTTGATAATGACCCATGACATTTAAGTCTCATAACAACAAGTGTTATGATTGCTATGATATAGTGTAGTGTTGTATGGCTTTGGTCTACTGGTATACTCCTCTCTAAACCGCTGTTCAGTCATAGGTTTGTTATCGCATGCATTCATGTGATTCTCAATCGATTCTTTGCGTAACACTAATGCAAAACAATTACATAATTCCTAGAAATTCTTCATTTCTCAGTTTGAAAACAAAATTTCTGTTTATCTTATGTTGAAGTTATTGCATAATAAGAAATCAACGCTTAAGTGATGAGTAAATACCAAATAAATCTGTATTAAGTTGAAAAGTGTTTTCTAATCTTATTTCTAATCTTATGTAGAAATTAGAATTATATTAAATATTAAATTAGAGAGAGAGAGAGAGAGAGAGAGAGAGAGAGAGAGACTATTAATTTATAATTCATATTCAAAAGAATTTTTTAAAGAATTTCACTAGAATTCAAAGAATTTCACTAATATGACAATTAATAGAAAAGTTCATATACAGTATTGTATATAATTTGAAACATAATGTTAATATAAAAGTCATACTGTATAATTTATAGTGAAAATAAATAATATAAATATTTGTCATAGGAGCATAAAATATCAGTCATCAAATGCTGTACATCATATGATATTCTATGCAGTCATACAGTACTTGTCGTCTACTTGAGCACAGAAAACAAGTCTATTTTAGGGGAATTGGAAGTACTGAGAGTATAGGCATACAGAGTGTAGTGTAAATGCGATAGAGAAGAGGTATAAACTACATAATACAGAGTTGTGTAGAGAGTGTAGGACTTGTTGGTAAGTTTGGCACTACTGGTGTACTGGTGCGTGAATCCACGAAAGGCCAGGTGTCCGACGTCGAGACTCTATCCTCGCCTTTGTCTGAGGTTTTAGACCTTTTATATTGTGATTGAAAAGAAAGCCGTATAATAAGGTCTGCCCAGACCTGATGCCACCTGTCTCTGGCGTACGTCCAGCATCTGCTCTAACAATCACTGACTGACACAACACGTGCCTCTCATACCACCAGTGCATTGAATCCTCTGCTCTATAAATATGAAAAACATCTCGAAATACAGTTAAGACACGCGATCAGACAAACTTGGAGATAAACTTTGAAAAGTTTGCCTATATTTGAGACACTGTCTCGAGTCCTCATTTAAATGCACACACTTTAGACTCAATCCATCAATTGTAGGCCTATTATTACATTAGATGTTGCTTTCCATTCATTTTCCAATTTTTGGTTTAATTTATATCTGTTTTTTGTTATAAATGGCTTATTTGAATTACTTGCAATGTAAATTTGCTATAATATTTAAATAATATAACATTTTATATATCATTTATTTGTTTATATTTTATTAACATGATATTCATTATATGGTTAATTGTGTTCAATTGTTGTGTGCAGTGATTGAAAGTATTAATGAGTTTTTGAACGAATGTATTAATCATTGAAAATAAAAGTGCCATTAAATAACCAGCAACATTTTAAATTATACATCTATTCAAATAATATTACGGTACTTTTGCAGCTGCCAATTATTAAATCACTCATAGTTTTGATGCACTATACAGTACTTTCAGTACATGGCATGATCAAGGATATTAGGGATGATCAGGGCATTTGAATGGCAATCATATTTATGCACTTTAATGACTGAACGGACACAATGTCATATACTGTACTAAATCTCACTAAATCATACACGAGCTGCTTATGTTTTCAAATATGTTGTATTAAATTAATATAAATTTAGTAATAATTAGATTTAAACCTTTAGACCAGAATTCTTTAAAAGTTTTATAAATCAAGAATAAATTGTTTGAAAGTTTAATTCCGGAATAAAGTAAGTTATGCTATAATAGTAAAAATACATTACAGTATAACGAATGTATGTTACAGTACAGTAAAGTACAGAAGTTGTATGTATATTTAATAATAAACAATAAATTGAATCATTTATGAATATAAATACCAATATTTTGTTTGTTATATTTATTAAATGATAACTGAGTATTAAACTTATGTTCAATGTTTGTCCCGATTTATTTGCACACAAATTATAGCCAAATCAAGAGCAGGTGTTCCACTCTCTGTTCATACATTGTATGCCTTATACCTGTATTTTATACCGTTTTTTCTTTGTTAGCTTTAAACTTATGTTATATTTTCCCCGCTTTTGTTATTTATAATTTACTCAACTTTTACTTTCTATGAATTCATAATTTTGATCTGGCAACATATTTCAATAAAAGTTAGTTTTAAGTATTTTCAACTCACATATAATTTGAGCAGAGTTTCCCTTACTTTGAAGACTGAAACCAGATATTTAGTATATCATCATTAATATACGCAAATTTAAATCAGCATTAAATCAGTGATTTTTGACATTATTTTCAAATTTAATTGAAATGTTGAGATCACAACTGAATTTATGTGACTTATAGGAGTAGTTATTGAGATAATATGCTTATATCTCTCAACTAATTCTAGAATTTTGGTCACAATTTTACAGTACATTCAAAATGATAGGTATAATGATTGCGATGTTTTGGGAGCAAAATGAGTCGATATGTGCTCCGATTACTGTAAATTTTATTTGTTATTATTATACACTTTAACAAATGCAACCTTTTAGTGCTTATACAGTAAAATATAAAATCAGTAATTCGTGAGTTATGTTACAAATGATAAAATGAGAGTATATGTAATGTATTATAAGTGATGCAAAATTGTTCATTTGATACAAATTGATGAAAACTCCAATTAAACTCATGGCTGTGTTTGTGTCAAGTCTTCAGTTTTAAAATATTTGGACACTTTTTTGTTTGACTCGAGATTTGGGAAAATAAAATCATTGGCAGTGATAGGCATTGAGAGATGGATTCGATCCAAAAGTTTTCTTAAACCTATCAAAAATAATTGGCAAACAGTTAATCACAATACTGTAATTGCAATATTGAAAACTCAATATGAGTATAGAATGTCAAGTGTGCACAGGTAGTGTTCAGATAATTAATAAAAACTTAATTTAAATGAGTGATACCGATATAAAAGTGAAGTTTATCGGAAGCCCGGGGCAGTTGTGAACAGCGAGCACTGGATGAGGGCATCACATAAATGAATGTCGAATCTATTGTTTTTGGCTGAAGTCCTAATTGAAAACGAGTCGATCCACTAAACACTTCGTAGATTCCTATTAATTGATATTTTAATTAATATTAGCTGTTAATTAATATTTAATTCATTAGTTTGCAGCATTAATTATAATATAATTCACACTATTATATTACAGAGTATCATAGCTTTATGTTACGGTACTATTACGGTAATACTGACATAGATAGTACATGTACAGTATTACAGAATTTATGTTAAATATTAAATAAAGTTTGTTCAATGTATTTTCAAATCAAGCAAAATAAGTGGATAATTAAGATTCAAGATTATTTTTAAAAATTGTCTTGATTAATTGCAAACAAATGCAATTGAAAAATTTGTCTACGGTATAAGTTTTTACAATTATTTGCTTACATGTTTGTTTGAAAATAAATTCATTGAATAAAACTTTAAATTGATTGATAAAACGGATGCATACAACGTATTGGCATATATGTAATGATTGACTAAAAATAGTATTATAGAGAACAGGATGGTACAGGGATTGGTACAGAAGGGAAACCCTTTGATGACAACCCATATGCAAAGTTGGGTAACATATACCGTATTAGCGGTAATAATAAATTGATATTACAATTACACTCTTAAGTATACCTTTTCCGTTAAAAACGGCTACTTTAGGGCAATAAGTCTTCAATTTATTGATTAAAACTTGAGATCCTCTTTGAATCTCATCTTTTGAGAGACAATCGCTTCCACGAGTGGTTCGGTCGACAATATTCGTGAAACCGATTCTGTATTTAAAACTCGAATCCATGAGACGGAAGTCATCGAAAGCGGTCATCGGTTTTGGTACCAAATGAGACAAATACAGACATTTCCAGAAGTGGTTTCCCGGACCTGACATACAGTACATAACAAGACATTCAATACATGGTATAGAAGTTAAAGCGAGTGAATGGTGTGACCGGAGTAGTGGTGACCCTTATAAGCGGCCCAATAACCCGGGTTTATGCCTACAATCAATACATCTAAATCATAGGCCAAGTGATCCGGTAGTGTCTTCTGCTTGAGTTCACATTCACTCAAACCATTGAATCTATTCGAGAAATTCTTTGGAAGCACTTTCTTCCTTTTATCCACACATTTGTCACCGCATTTGGTCTCTGTCTGCACACTTATGTCACACATTTCAATACATACAGTGTTTAGTTATAGAGTTTAGGTTTGCATCCAAATTCATATCATTTTCACCATCAGATTCGTCTCATTAACTAATAATTTGCTAACAATTTCGACAATTTATTTCAAACTTTTCAAAAGAATAGTCTATATTTTGACGAAACGGTTATTTAACTCAATGTTTGCAATGAAAGGGTTGAACAGTATTCAAGTCACGAGACTGTGGGTGACATCTCTTATGCACTACTCAACCAATACTTGCAAAGAATCACAAGAATTCTATAGAATATTACCCTGCTCTATTCATATAGTAACTAACTATGTAATAAACATGAATAAATTATAATCTTATCAATGTATTTGTAATCACTTTAAACCCAAATTACAATCAAATGCGGTAAATATATGAAACACTATATAGTATATTATACGATGCAAATACATTGTAATCCGGGCCACATTAACAGTGAATATTATAAGTTATAATTTATAACATTAGTCAGTATAGAGATTAGTGTGTAAATGTTTAGAGTTTTGTCTCTCATAGTGTGGCCCCAAATGGCTCGAGTGTGCATCCAGGTAAACTATATAGTATATACGGTACATATAATTAACATTATTTCAAAATAAAAATTTATTTAATGATTGGATTGAATGTGAGAAATAAAAGAATGACAGTTTGGGTCGGAATCAATGTCTTTATTCCGAATCAGATTTCTCTTCTTTCTTCTTCTTCTTCTTCTTTTTCTTCTTCTTTTCAGCCGATTGTCCCACACTTTCGTCCATTTCTTCGTCGGCCTCTTCTTCTTTTACTTCTGTTTTAACGACTGTTCCGTTGGGTGAGGACAGGCCGTCAGCATTTGCATCGGTATGGGAGGAGTCCTGATATTTTAAATACCAATCTTTTGGGGTCTTGTCGTTAGGCTTTCCCTTATCTGTTAGTAATCCCTCTTTCATTAACTTCTTCTTAAGAGTGGCCTAATGTTGTGACAACAGGTGAGACATTGAGCTAAACACTAATTACGATCAAACTTACAGTGGGTCCCAAACCCCACTTTCGGGGATAGGTATCCCTTTCCATAAGAACTCTCTTGATTTTGGCGACCACTCCGTGATCACTGCTCGCGATTGTCGATGTGGTCATCAGTGCAATGGCTTCAGTGATCAATCAATCATCAGATAAATCATAAATACTGTGTATTACTGGTATATATTTGATTGCAATGATAGGCAGACTCACCCAAACAGACGGCTTCTCCTTTGGTGGTGATGACGACAATCTGGTCGTTCATTTCGATGTTGTCCTCATACTTGAGTACTCCGGGTAACATGATTTTGGCGCCATAGCAGACGGCGTTCACTGCACTGTCTTTCATGACAATCCGCTTATGAGAGATCAGAAGCGCTTCCAATGGCTTAATGACTCGTCGAAGATATGTCTCGTCTTTGTGGTTATCGTAGAGCCACTGGGCGTCCAGAATGTCGTGCATCGTAACCAACCCCTCGGCCTCACTCTGAATGCCAGAGCGGACTCGTCTCAGCTCTTGCATCTGTCCGCCAACGCCTAACACGAGTCCCAAATGAACGCAAAGAGTGCGGACATAAGTGCCGGCCTCACAGCTCACCCAAAGGACGCCCAGATTTTTCTCTTTATTATACTCCAGAAGTTTACTCTCATATATAGTGCGGACTCTGAGCTGTCGTTTCACAGCTGATATTAGAGGAGGTCTTTGAAAGAGAGCGCCGGTAAGCGTTTCCACGGCTTTCAGTACAGTCTTTTCGCTATCGACAGCGCTGTGGAGGCGAAAGATAGTCACGTACTCTTTGCCCGCATTTTGCTGAGACTTCACTAAACGAGTGGCCCTTTCGATGCACACAATGAGACAACCGCTCACTTTGGGGTCAAGGGTTCCGCTGTGACCCGTCTTATCGACCCTCAGAATGCGTTTAATCCAAGCGACCACTTCATGGGAGGACGGGTTGGACGGCTTATCCAAATTGATGAAACCCGAGCGCAAGTATTCTCGCAAATCACGTTTGAATGGCGAACAACCAAACGATAGGGGCGTGAAGTGGTTGGTCCTCACGTTCAGGCGGTCGTAGTTCTGTCACAATCACACCGTCAGACACCAGACACCACAGCCCTCACAGTCACATACCTTGAGAAGGAGTGGCCACTGCTCGGCGTTCAGACTCGGCTCGGCTGACGACGGCTTCAGGAAGAANGTCGTAGTTCTGTCACAATCACACCGTCAGACACCAGACACCACAGCCCTCACAGTCACATACCTTGAGAAGGAGTGGCCACTGCTCGGCGTTCAGACTCGGCTCGGCTGACGACGGCTTCAGGAAGAAATCCTGTTGGCGTTGAATCTCCTGAACAATGCAATCAATGGTCAATGTATTCAATCATTTAGGATGTGTTTAGGATGTGCTCAACACTTACGCCTAGCGTTTGGGGCGATTTGTGCTTCTTCTTCGATGTCTTATCTGAAGGGTAAACACATTTAGTCGTAAGTCATGTGACCAACTCATCCATACCTTCCATGTCTTGACTTTGCACTACTTGTAGTGATAATTACAGCAAACAAATGGTATAAACATTGACCACCACTTCAAACACAAACACGTGTTTCCATTCACAGTTCAAACAGTGCTCTGTTTAGTGCACATCAATAACGTTACATATTATAAATGTTTGTAACGCTATATATGAATGGTTTGTTTGTTGTCAACAATTGACAATTGATTGCAATTTGTATTTCAAACTGATATTCATATTGAGTGTAAATCCAGTGTAAAGACAATTACAAGTAATAAATCAGTGAATCATTGGATCCATTAGTGTGTGGTGTAAGTGATGGCGACTCTGGAGAAGGAAGGCATCCAGAAGCAGATCCAACAGGACTGGGCTAACCGCGAGTACATTGAGATCATCACCGGAAGCATCAAAAAGATCGCTGACTTCTTGAACTCGTTTGGTATGTATTGACTATGAATTGGTCCACAATTTGATGGGTTGTGTCGTTTGCAGACATGTCTTGCAGAGGAAGACTGGCGTCACTGAACGAAAAGCTAACGTCTTTAGAGCGAAGGATTGAATACTTGGAGGCGAAGGTAGACATGGATTGAGATAATTGTGGCGATGATTGCAATGATTGACTCATTTGTTGTGTGTTTAGGTAACCAAAGGAGAGACTCTTAATTGATTGCATTGATTGCCAACAATGACTACAATATTATAGCCTATCAATGGTGTCGTGCTTTTCACAAATCATTATATTTATACACTATTTATATGTATTAATATTAATAATGTACCAAATATTGCATTTAATCAAATAAATTAATACTTCATATTACCCTGTACAGTATTTGTCATTAATAATACAATATTACCCGTAAAATTTAGGAATGATCTAATACTGTATTACTAAAAATGACATTTTATTATCCATTTCAAAGTTTTATTCATAACCTGTAATACATTATACTTTAAATGATACTGTTACATTATAATTGATACATGATGATCTTAAATATATTGAGAATTGAATGATTGCTTATGCAATTTAGAATGCGCTGGCTCATAATCTATACCCTGCATAGATTTTCAAATCAAGCAAAATAAGTGGATAATTAAGATTCAAGATTATTTTTAAAAATTGTCTTGATTAATTGCAAACAAATGCAATTGAAAAATTTGTCTACGGTATAAGTTTTTACAATTATTTGCTTATATGTTTGTTTGAAAATAAATTCATTGAATAAAACTCTAAATTGATTGATAAAACGGATGCATACAACGTATTGGCATATATGTAATGATTGACTAAAAATAGTATTATAGAGAACAGGATGGTACAGGGATTGGTACAGGGATTGGTACAGAAGGGAAACCCTTTGATGACAACCCATATGCAAAGTTGGGTAACATATACCGTATTAGCGGTAATAATATTAAATAAATGAATGCCATATAAGGTAACATAATTACGGTAATAATAAATTGATAATACAATTACAGTCTTAAGTATACCTTTTCCGTTAAAAACGGCTACTTTAGGGCAATAAGTCTTCAATTTATTGATTAAAACTTGAGATCCTCTTTGAATCTCATCTTTTGAGAGACAATCGCTTCCACGAGTGGTTCGGTCGACAATATTCGTGAAACCGATTCTGTATTTAAAACTCGAATCCATGAGACGGAAGTCATCGAAAGCGGTCATCGGTTTTGGTACCAAATGAGACAAATACAGACATTTCCAGAAGTGGTTTCCCGGACCTGACATACAGTACATAACAAGACATTCAATACATGGTATAGAAGTTAAAGCGAGTGAATGGTGTGACCGGAGTAGTGGTGACCCTTATAAGCGGCCCAATAACCCGGGTTTATGCCTACAATCAATACATCTAAATCATAGGCCAAGTGATCCGGTAGTGTCTTCTTCTTGAGTTCACATTCACTCAAACCATTGAATCTGTTCTCGAAATTGTTTTTCCTTTCTTTCTTCCTTTTATCCACACATTTGTCACCGCATTTGGTCTCTGTCTGCACACTTGTGTCACACATTTCAATGCATACAGTGTTTAGTTATAGAGTTTAGGTTTGCATCCAAATTCATATCATTTTGACCATCAGATTCGTCTCATTAACTAATAATTTGCTAACAATTTCGACAATTTATTTCAAACTTTTCATAAGAATTGTCTATATTTTGACGAAACGGTTATTTAACTCAATGTTTGCAATGAAAGGGTTGAACAGTATTCAAGTCACGAGACTGTGGGTGACATCTCTTATGCACTACTCAACCAATACTTGCAAAGAATCAC